CTAGACCCTTCTTCAGAAAAAGAAAGGTCTAGGCCCGAAACGTCAGCTTTCCTGCTCCTCCCTTGCTGCTTGACCTGCTGTGTTCATCCAGCTCTACATCTTGTTATCTCTTATTTCTAAAAATCCTGCTTGCCTTTGGCAAGGATGGGCTTCACAGAGGTAACCCAGCTGGTCTTTCCACAGACAAACAAAGATCCAAAAAGGTCTGGAAAGTTAAGGACCAGCTGAAGATGAGAATTAATTTCAGAATCAACACTCCAACTCATATAATATAGACAACCACCCCAAGAATTTATTCACCTGTTTCTCATCAAAGACATGGGTGTGATATTTCCAAAGAGGAACTGCAAGAGAAGCCCGTTGACTTAGTCATCACTTCTATTACAATTAAAGACTTTAGGGAGGATCTTCTAAGCAAAAGAAAGGACCACATCTTTGAAGCTTTATTTGATGATGGATCCAAGTATGAATTAAAGTGGCAGGCCAGCAACAATTACATGATTAAGATGCAGTCAACACTATTGCTACAGTCAGAAACATGCACCAAACCATTAAAATCTGCTAGAAATTTGTCACATCAACCCTAAAGTTGTTAGGTTCTTCCTGATATTCCAGAGTGGTGTCTGGAATGAGTTATTCGATAATGAGAGGATGAGGAAATTGGGTCTATACTGTCTGGAGTTTGAAGAATGTGCTCTCTGACTCTGAATGAGAGGAGATCTCAGTGAAGCATGCAAAATTCTGTAAGACCTTGATATAATAAATACTGAAGATGTTTCCTCTGGCTTTAGAACATGGAACGCTGTATCAGGATAAGGAAACGATCATTTTGGACTGAGATGAGGAGAAATTTCCTCACTCAGAGGATTGTCATCTTTGAAATTCTCCACCATAGAGCGTTGTGGATGCTCCATTCTTGAGTCTGTCTAAGGCCACAATACACTTTTAGTGTCTTGTGCACGATATGGGCAGTAAGTGGGGAAGTGGAGTTGAAGCCAAAGATCAGCCATGATCATATTGAATGGTGGAGTAGGCTGGAGGACCGTAGGGCCTATTCCTGCTCCTATTTCCTATGTTCTAATTCCAGATTAGATAGACATTGTAGATGGAATATTGTATTTATCATCCGTTCTGTATGTTTGACAGACTAATGCTGCCAACAAAGACCCAACCCAGCCGCTGATCCCCCATGATGCTGCCAAAGGGAAGTTACCTGTCAACAGACCCAGTAAGTTATTCACAGAACAAAGACCAGTGTTGCCTGATGACCAAGGTAATCACCAGCTCAGTGGCACAGTAGACTGACATGGAGATCAGTGGGTTCAGTTATGTATACGCAGGATAGAAAGACAATTGTACCTGGGGGAAGAGAGCTTTGTACTTAGCGTAGAGAAATAGCTGCACCTGTGATAGAAAAATAGTTTCACAAGGGATACAGAGATATATCTAGGTAATCCCATTGCCTCCTGATAGCTGGGTGTTCTGCTGAGAATATCTTCCACTCGCTTTCCAAATTGACAGCATCAACTGGGCCAAAGAAAAGGATGGAATCTGTACATACTTCCAGAAATTTCTGATAGCGAATAATATTTCATCAAAACAAGTTTCCATCATTACAATGAGTGTCCAAAATATTATTTTAAAGTGAAATGTTGCTTTTCATTTTGGTTTTGTGGAGGAAGAATCTTTGCAATTCAGACAGAAGCTGTAGTGTGTGCTGTAGAAGAAATTTCACACAGCTGGAACCACCATGTTTGGACTCTGGCAGAGTAGATTGCACTCAGCTTCAGTTAATTGTCACAACCACATTGGCCGTTCAAGCTGTGGCAGGAGCGAAGTTGCTAAGGTGCTGCCTTTCTGGCTGGAAGGCCTGGCTTTTCATCCAACTAGGATGAGCAAGAATCTATTGTCCCTTGCCTGGCTGTAATAAATATCAAACAGTCTTCTAGGAGGGTGGCCACATGCTGTAGAATGATGGGTTTGATCCATGAACTGGTGCACAGTGGGCTGCGTCTGTGGGCTGTGGGCTGTGGGCTATGAATTAATGGGGTGGGCTGTGGATTGATGGGTTGGGGCTGTGAGCTGTGGGTTAATGGCTAAACATCTGTGATTAGGACATTTAGGCTACCAGCATATGTGTTCTACACAGTGTTGACAGAAGCATGAACTCACTTGATAATATGGGTGGTATCCCACATCTGTCTTATTTCATCAGAAAATTGGACAGATTCACAAAGGTGTCTGCCCATAGTCCTCAACAACATATCCAAAATAGTCCTACCTAAATATTATATGTAACTGTTCAGGTCTGTGACCTCTGACTTTCTGACCTCTACCTCTGCGTCAGCCCTCCCTCCTAAGGGAAGCCCAGCACAGAACAAACAGTGTGGGGACTTGGCATTCCTGCTGTTGTGTCCAACTACAAGGTGTTTTCTGGACTTTGAGGTCTACAATAGAAAATGTTCTGTTTCATAGAGCTGATATATCCATGAGTCCATTGAAAAGATTCAGCTATGTTTTATTTAGAATCAATTCCACTCTATGGGTAATCCAGTGATTGCTGTCCCAATGCGACGGAATTATTCACAAGCCCATGTTCTCCACGCAATACTAAAAGCAGGGACTCAAACATGGACCTGAATAAGTCCCTCTTGCATTGTTGTTGTCCCTGTGGAGAAGAATAATGGCACTGCTTTTATCCAGTGCCAGCTGAGATGGAAATTCACAAGGAAATTCTCATGTACCTTAAACTCTGATACCAGTTTAATGCCATGACACGAATGTACTGCTTCATTTCCATTGTTGGAAGTATATTACAAATAATACCATGCACAAATGTTCTATTGATTCTTCCCTTGAAATACAGATACTGCTGAAACCCCAAAACCCAAACTCGCAACACAAGATCCTGTGCATCACACCACACTTAATTCAGAGCACTTTCCTGAGCCAACACACAACATCAAGGATATCATCAGACAATATGAGCAATCAGCAACTCAGAAGAAAACTGGACTAATCAGGTAAAACTGACTGCACCATGCAAAATATTGCAAGGGTTGCAAAGCATAAGGAATCAGCTTGGTACCCGTAATTCCATGGATGGCACAACCATAATAACCATGCCATAATGGAAGAAAGCTAGAAAAAAAAAGCATGGAGAGGGTGGGAGATGGTTTATTTGACTGATATTTTCTAGAAAAGTGAGGACTTGGATCAAATTTGGTCTATTGGAATTCTGTGCAGTGCAGCAATGGGACTGTTTATTTTAACCTGAAGCTGACAAAAATCCAAACAGATCTGTAGCTTCCTAGTGGAATACAAGAATTCAACCATGATTGAAAATTGTAATAAACTTAGTGTGTGAATAAAATTAAATACTTGTGTACCTGTGTTTCTCTGTTGTCAGAAAAGAAGGTGGAAAGATATTCACGAAGAAAATGGACCCTCATGAAGAGGCAATGTTTATCTTGAAAGGACAGATAATGCCGCATGTCTCCCAGGTAATGCATCATAACTAATGCTCTGTTTCAATTTCACACTAGCGGAATAATGTGTGTGAAAACTTGTGCATGGCTATTCTCCACCCACTTTATGTTCCCACAGAATTTCTGGTGCTTCCATTGAAGGAATTGGCAGAATGCTTGATTCAAATATAAGAGACGGACACAGAAGTATCAGCCACTTTCAGCTGGCAGTGATCATTTGTGTGAGCCAGCTGAGTTAGGCTGTCCACACGCTGCTTTTCATGCAACTTAGAGGACATGATCAAAAGGAACAACTTTAGCAGTAAAACATACAAAATATTATTCTGCTGCGAAAGAACTAATGGCTGTGAACAGGTTTAGTTTTTAATCCCAAATTACAATTTTGCAATGCTTACTTTATTGATTGGCAACTTCTTGAAACTTCAAATGTTAAGGAAAGAAAGAAGGAAATGACTGCCTTCCTTGAACTGTATTTTGCTTCCAGTCAGTTGCTGGTTTTTGAATGTATTTAAGCCATTCTAAGGTTTTGGAGTAGATCTGTAGCTCAGGTTGCGGGTGTTGAGGTTGGATGGCTCGCCGAGCTGGTTTGTTGTTTTGCAGACGTTTCGTTACCATGCTGGGTAACATCCTCCATGCAGCCTCCGATGAAGCGTCGGTGTGTTTTCCCGCCTGGTTTTTAAACTCTGGGGTCCGTTGAGATGGATTGCCTCACTTCCGGTTTTCCTTCGTAGTGTAATGTATATGGGGTCGAGTTCAATGTGTTTATTAATAGCATGCTTCGTGGAGTGCCATGCTTCCAGGAATTCTCATGCTTGTCTCTGCCTAGCCTGTCCCAGGATCTTGGTGTTGCCACAAAAAGACATGACCAATACTCACTCATCTCAATCCACATAGACGAGGAGAACCACGACTTCGACTGGTACAACCTGGGGTAGACTGATTAGTAAAGTTAGATCACATAGAATTCAGGGGGAGCTTGCCAATTGGATACAGAATTGGCTTGATGGTAGAGGACAGGGCATGGTGATGGAGGGTTATTTTTGAACTGGAGGCATGACCAGCGGTGTCCTGCAGGGATCGGTGCAGCATCCACTGTTGTTTGTCATTAATATAAATTATTTGAATGAGTATTTAGGAGACATGGTTAGTAAGTTTGCAGATGACACCAAACTTAGTGGTATAGCCATGCGTGAAGAAGATTACCTAAGATTACAAAGGGGTCTTGATCAGTTGGGCCAATGGCTTGAAGAGTGGCAGATGGGGTTTAATTTGAGTAAATGCAGGGTATTGCATTTTGGTAAGACAAACAAGGACAGGACTTATACAGTTTATGGTCAGGCCCTAGATAGTGTTGTTGAACAGAGAGACCTGGAGGTTCAGGTACATAGTTCTTCGAAAGTTGCGTCACAGGTAAACAGGGTGGTTAAGAAAGTGTTTAGCATGCTTGCCTTCATTGCTCAGACCATTGAGCATAGGAGTTGGGACGTCATGTTCAGGTTGTACAGGACATTGGTGAGAGCACTTTTGGAGCACTGTGTTCAGTTCTGGTCATCCTGCTATAGGATGGATATTATTAAATTGGAGAGGATTCAGAAAAGATTTACCAGGATGTTTTTGGGCCTAGAGGGTTTGAGTCATAAGGAGTGGCTGGATAGGCTGGGACTTTTTTCAGTGGAACATAGGAGACTGTGGAGTGACCTTATAGAGGTTATAAAATCATGAGGGGCATAGATAAGGTGAATAGCAAAGGCCTTTTCCCTAAGGTATAGGAGTTCAAAACTAGAGGGAATATTTTTAAGGTGAGAGGAGAAAGATTTAAAAGTAACCTGAGGGGTAACTTTTTCACTTAGAGGGTAGTTCGTATGTGAACTGCCAGATAGAGTGATAGATGCAGGTACAGTAAACATTTAAAAGACATTTGGATAGGTGCATGAATAGGAAATTTTTGGAGGGATATGGGCCAAATACAGGCAAGTGGGATTAGTTTAGTTTGGGAAACTTGGTCAGCATGGCCAAGTTGGACCAAAGGTTCTATTTCTCTGCTGTATGACTCTAAGCTGTTAGACCAGGAGGCAAGCACACTAGCTTACCTGGAGGTGCCGGTTTTCACCCAGAAGGAAATCTGCAGCTTGGGAATTGCTGGTATGTGAGCTTCCAGCCCAACAAGTGGCTGGACCTATTCTGCTTTTTATATATATATTATCTCACAGGATGTGGGCATAGTTGCCTAGGCCAGCACTTAGTGCCCACCCTTAATTTCCCTTGAGAAGATGTTGGAGAGCAACCTTCTTGAACCTCTACAGTCCACGTGATGTAGGTAAGCAGTACACTTAACTGCCCCATGTTCCCCTCCCAACCTCACCACTCTTCCCAACCTCACAGCCTTGCCCCAACAATCTCACCAACATGGCAGGCACATCACTGGTCACCATAAGATAGCAGACTGATGGGAAAAGCAGCAAGGACGATAGGCCATCTTGAATGAGGCTGCGTCCTTCCACTAATTGTTCTGAAGGGGAATGGGGACAATTGGTGAAAATCGAATTGGATAAGATTCCTTCTTATTCTTCCTATTTTACTGAAACAGAAGCCAGCACCTGCACCGTCAAAGGATAAGAATTCCAAAGAAGCCGTTGCCATGGTGAAGCCTGTCAGTGGCATGACACGGAAGAGCAGCACCAGACCAGTGCCAGCTGTCTCTGCCAGGCACCCTGTGTTCTCGGGAGGTTAGTGACCAGGCTACAGCTCCATTCGCTTTAGATGAAATAATTGTGTCTCTTGAACCCCTGTGGTTTAAAATGACACAGTCCCTGATTAACCACACAGAACTTTTTGCATGATGTGAAACCACACAATGCAGGATGGGACAGTGGCTGATACTGAGCCGATTCCTCCTTCATTCAGTTCTCAATCAGAGTGGCATCAAACTGATTAGTTGCAAACTGTATCTGGAGTTCAGTGTATTGGGATGATTTTCTGTATTAAATATATGTTGTATCACCTTCCCTATTAAGAAACTAAAAGCCTCATACAAAGAATGCACCTGATAGATGTGTCTCTTCATGTCTGGATGAACCATTATTGTTATCACTTATCATTCAGTCAATCTGAGGCTGTGCAGTTATATGGTTCAACCAGTGCTGTGGAATTGGAACAAACTTGTCTGTGACTGGAAATAAAATTTGAAGCAATGTAAAATAAGCTGCTACCAACTCCATCTCACATGACATATACCCTTCATCACACCCTTCATTGTAAGGCTGTACCACCTGGCCTTTGGGGGTATCAAAAAGCACATTGCTGTAGGGGAAAGGTAATGATCATGCTGCATCATCAGAGGAAGAGTCTGATGTGACCAAGTTCCTTGCAGCTTCTCACTTGACTGGGACAAGACTTCATACTTGCACCATTCATTCACCTGAGGCTGTGCAGTCACATGGCTCACAAATGCTGGTGGAATTGGAATGAACTTGTCTGTGGCTTGGAATAAAAATTGAAGCAATGTAAAATGATCTGCTACCAACTCCATCTCACAAAAACAAGATATGCGCTCTACATCAAACCCTTCATTGTAAGGCTGTACCAGCTGATCTTTGGGGGTATCAAAATATATAGTGCAGAAGGGGAATCTTGGGGTAAGGGAAGGGGCAGTAGATGAAAAGTAAGAGTTCACACCACCTGTAGCATGGACTTCATACAGCACTGCGCAGTGAGGATGAAATGGATTTTGGCATCAACCTGGATAACCTGGATGGTTTCAGTATTGTCAACTTCAATGACTTTGGTGACTGCCATGCCTTTATTCAGAATACTGTCTCTTCTAAGGTAGCTAAGCCTGACCCTCTGCAGTTCTTTGAAACTCCTGCTGTTATGGGCCAAACTGTGTCACAAGAGAACAAAGTGTATCAGTATTTGTTTCATTGTGTTTGGTGTTGTGCATGCCATAACTGAATAACTGGAAGTGTTTGGAAGCTTTGAGATCGGTGTGTGGGACTTGCAGAATTGATGAGTGTAAAAACGAGATGCAGCATGTGACTGTTAGACCTGAGCCCTGATTGCTAGAAATTGTTGATGGGTAAATGGGGGTGTGGTATATTAAGCATTACGTGAGGTTGGCAGTGCAGTGGGTACAGGATGGCATTTAAAGATGCATTCTCTAACCTTGTCCATTTGTGTGAGATCATTTAATGTTTTCTGGGACTTCAGGTATCATGATCTCCATGGCTATCTACTTCCAGATTGTTACTAAGTATCTGTCCGGAGGGTCTCCTGAACCCTTTACATAGGGTAATATCTTTCGCCTTTCTACCTCCTGCATTGGAGAACCTGAGAACCTACTCTGGAATACTGCTCCATTGATCCTCTTTCTTCTTTCTAAGAACCACATACACAGGTATTTCCAATACAAGATGCAGGGTGGTTTTAAGAAGAGCAGGATAGCTTTATTTAGTGCTAGCTTCACACAAACCTCAGGGCCTTGCTTAGCATAAGGACACTTAGCAGTCATTTAATGTTAAGGCAAGCCACAATCATGCAGATGAGGAGATGTGGTGAAATTTTTTCATGTCTATATCATTTCCACTGGGTGTAAGATAATTGTATGCCAGAATCCTTGTATACAATCATGATCTGATCCAAATTTTAGTCCCAACTCTTTTCAGAACCCTGCAGTGCACAAAAATTGCCTGCCACGTTTCCCTGACAACACTTGAAAAGTAATCAGTTCTATGTGGGCTGTGACACAGCCTGAGTAATGTGAAAGAGCTAAATTAAAGCACGTTCTTTCTTTTTTCCACTTGCACCTCCCAGCGTCAGTTTCCCGGGAGCTGACAGGAGAAGATGAGAGGATCCAGACACAGCTACATGGGCAGCCGTCTGAGGGATACTACACCTACAGCAAAATGCCCTGCGACCTCTGTATCCGCAAAGAGGTACCAGAATATAAATAGTTATTCAAACCCAAAAAGGTAGTAAAAGATGACAACACCCAGAAAAAAACATCCAAAGTACTTGCCTCATAATAAATGAAGTTGGAAGGTATGGAGTGGAACATGGGTAGATCATAACCTGAGTTGCAGCTTTATCCAAACTATAGCAGGTCTCAGACCCTGAAGTCTTTGAGAGACAGCATTTGTATTGTGGTCTGGGTGTGGGCCCAGAGAGCAAGCAGCGGACCCGAAGTGCAACAAGAGGGACCGGAGAAGTGGGGACTACATAGGCTACATTGGAGGGGTGGACGATAGGTAGAAATGGAGAATAGGGTAGTGGAGAATGGACACCATGCAGTTCGCCCTAAGGGACTGGGATTGAGCTTGTTAGAAAAGAGCAGTCTGCTATCTCTGCTGTTAACACCAGGCCACAGTCTTAAATCATAGCTCAGCCAGATGATGTGCTAAGTAGAAGAGGGTTGTATGAAAGGTTAAACACTAAAACAAAAACCCAAAGAACTGCAGATGCTGGAAATCAGAAACAAAAACAGATATTGCTCTGAAAACTCAGCAAGTCAGGAAGCATCTCTGGAAAGACAGCGGAGTTAATGTTTCAGATCCTGTGACCCTTCTTCTGAACAACCCATTCTGAAGAAGGGTCACTGGACCTGAAGTGTTAACTCCACTTTCCTTCCACAGATGCCACCAGACCTGCTGAGTTTTCCCAGCAATTTTTGTTTTTGTGTATGAGCAATTACATGTGTGAAGCATATTCTTGTGCTCAGTTTAGTAAAGTCAGCAGTACAAGTTCCTATTCATTCCACTTCATTTCGTATTTTTCTCCCCCTGCTTCAGGTGTTTTATCCCAAGGAAAGTTTCCACAGCCCGGTGATACTGGATCTTATTTTCAGACAGGTACGGAAACTAATGGACACTCAATTTCTTCCAGAGAAAGGATGTTGATTGTGGAGCAATTTCTCTCAGGTCTCAGCCTTTGCATGGGTTAGCTCAGTATCTCTGTTCCCAAGCTCATGTCTGAACGTAGGTACTGCCTTTTGTGGTATTTATTATTGTGCCTGCCTCCCTGCAATCCATCTAGCTTTCAGTACTCCATTGTATGACATATACTTCCATCATAAAACTCATTGTTCGTTTATTCCTACGATAAGTTTTAAGACAGTGCCAATTTTTTTAGAATTTAAAAATGTATAACATATGTATATGTTGTATAACATATGTATATGTTACATATAACAATGTATAACTTGTCTATTTTTATGTAAAAATTAACATGATTCATAGTTTGGAAGCTTTCTGAAGTTCCTTGCCATTTATTCAGGAAAAGTTTCAGGACCCCTTATTACCGAAGATTATTCACATATCCTAAGATTTTGCCCTACTTCAGCTTTGTTTGCCTTTCTCCTCTCAATACTAGGCACTCAATAACTGTGTTGCATGTCATCACAATATTACATCAGATATAATTGAGCATGAGAAGCCTTTCTTGATTGGAGTGACTTTTTAAAATTTATTCACGGGATGTGGGCATCTCTGGCTGGGCCAGCATTCATTGCGCATCCCTGATTACAGTTAAGAGTCAACCGCATTGCTGTTGGTCTGGAGTCACATGTAGGCCAGACCAGGTAAGGACAACAGTTTCCTTTGCTAAAGGGCAACAGTAAGCCAAATGGGTTTTTCCCGACAATTAGCAACAGTTTCATAGTCATCATTAGACTCCTAATTCCAGACTTTTATTGAAATCATATTCCACCATCTGCCATGATGAGATTCAAACACAAAATGTTACCTGAGTCTCTGGATTAACAGTCCAGTGATAATACCACTAGGCCATTGCCTCCCCTTGCTTGATGATGTGTATCAATATTTAGATTGGTTCAAATATTAAATTGCTCCTTCTGCATTCTGTAGCTATTTAGCTTATGGGTGAGGTTTTCCTGCTTTAACCTCCTTCTATCCCCCTTTACCTGCTATCTGACTGCCCTGATACCTGAGGATTCATCTTCCATAAGCTCAGTAGTTTCAGTGTATTTCAACACCTATGTTCAGATTATTTCCAATTTATAATTTTCGTTGTCAGGACTTCCATTTCAGACATAATGACTGATTTAGCCAGTGCTACCTGTAAAAATGATGATGAAATACAGACATTAGTCTGTGATGTTGGTAACTATGCAGAAGTTAAAGTTGTGTGTGTTTTATTAAGCTACTTTAGTAATAGATAACCAGTACCTGTAACTGAGTCTCATGTTGCTATATGAGAAAAGAACTGTTACAATAGCTTGGACATTGTGAAAGCACAGCAAAATAAATCGCATGCAGGTAAAGTGTTAAAACAAAAAGTAGTTACTTTGTTATGAAATACTTGATTTAATTCAGTGCCATTTACCTAGCAGCTTGAAAAGAAGTTAAAGTATTGCCAAAATTTTGGAAACTAACTAGGAATCAGCAAACCAGTTTCCGGTGTTTATGGCCAACATTTACCTCTATTAAATTTGGATCTGAAGTTTTACTTTAAAATTGCAAAAAAAAATTACTGAAGTGATTCATAACTATAGCTAATCTAATTCTGTCTTGAATTAGTACATTTTCCTTTTTTCTGAGGTAACATACTCTCATCACTGCACCACCTTTCTCCCTCACTCCCATCTCCACATCACCATGACAGACAGGGCAGCTCAGAATACGGATCAAATTTCAAACTGTATGTCGATACTTCTCTAACTGGCTAGTAGGAAATACAAGTGATTATAGAGTTCAGGTAAGTCTGATTCAGATCTTTTGGAGGAATCATTGTGAAAGCTCAATGTTAACCTTAGTGCATAAGACTGTGAATCAAACGTTACAAGACTAGACAGTTATGCCAAAGGATAAAAGAGGGAAAACTCAAGGAATTTGGATAGTTTGAATGGCATAACAGTTAAAAGCTGGGAACAAATCGAGGCACTTCAGCATTTATGTGCAGAATACTGGATAACCTGGATTAAATTACAGATGCCAATCTAATTGAGAGCTTCGAGGTTTATATATTGAATAACATTTACTACAGGCTGGAATCTATATCGAATAACTGAGACTTGAAAGTGAGTTTTGGAATGTAATCTGATTAAGGGGTTTGGGTGTTTTTTTTTCACTTGAAGATATTGTGTAATTTCCTATTAATATTTTGTTTAAAATTCCTTTAATTCTGTGAAGATCGTGAGCGACACGTTCTCTGAAACTTGTGTGAGACTGAATAAAGAGGAACAGATGAAGATGAAATCTTTACTGGGTCAGTATTCCAAGTCTTGCTGGGATTGGGTCTGGGGCTGGATAAAGGGTAAAGCAAGGCAACTGATGGAATAATTTTAGCTGCACTCCCACTGTTCTTTCTCTGTAACTATTTTTATGTGATTCATGTGAATTTGTTATGTTTCAGTTTTCAGAGATAAACAAACTAAATCACAGTTAAATATGAATCAAAATCTTGAGACTTAACATAAACATGATTTCACTTATTCAGTCACCCTGAAACATTGGCCTTGATGCTAAACCTTAAACATGGTGGTTGTTGGTTGTATTTTGTTTTTTTGAGTTACCAGATTTTATTGAGAGTGTGTTGATTTTTTGGAAGCTATTCATCAACCTTTCCAATTGTGTAGTCAGCAGGCAATACACAGAAGGTCAGTCAGTTTCGATATGGAGAGAGAATGATGTCATCAAGATGTGACCATTCATTAGAACCAACTGGAATCCTGCATGCCAAAACTATAAAAATCTAGATTATTTCCTCTGGGAGATGGCTGGGAGGAGGTAGAGAATGACAGTGTGTCAGAGCTGAATTTACATCAGTAAAGGTACAGTAGTAACACAGGGTAGTGGAGGAAGGGGTTACAGAGTTAGATTAACATCAATTCACAGATAAACAGTAAGATGCTGTTTGCAAAGAATTAGTGCATTTGGCAAACAGTGACTGGCCTAAATTCTATTGACTGTATCTTTACTGGTGTTAATTCAGTTTCCTCACACTGTCTAGTTCAATGACTCCCTCCTGTCAGTTCCTGAATATATTATCAGCATTTACTGCTAAAAAGACTCATGTTGAAGTGGGCCCTCCCTTTGCCCTTTTAAAATCACTCCCTTTGAGTGAATCAGTTTGGTACAAGAAAAATGACTGTACAATATGTATTACAACAAACACAGCAGCATTTAATTCTCTTCTGCAGCTGAAAACAAGATTGTATCCTCGACTCTGGTGAAGGATGAAGCTGTCAAGAGGAAGATTGTAATGGCTGCCAGAGAAGCTTGGGATGTTTATTTCTGCCGTCTGTTCCCTGCCTCTGTGAGACAACCTTTTCAGCATTTTTATAAATACATTTAAACCACAACATGTTCTGTCATTAAATATTATTTATTGATATTTTTAAAATTTTCAGCATGTTGTGGAAAACTGATAATGTGCTGGAAACTGCAACAGTATCCATGATGAAGGGACAACTCATTGAAAAATAGGAACAAGGATTTGTCATTCAACCTCTTGAGCCTTTTCATAATTCAATTATATCAGGACTGATCTGAATCTCAAAACCATTTCAGGGCAAATATATTTACCCCAAAAGGTTACTGAGCATAGTTCCACATCCTTGTATCTCTAGATGTGGCTTTCTAGACATTTTCTCTGCCCAGGGATTAATTCATCCTATAATCCCCCCATCCCACCTCCTAAATATATTTATACATCTTATTTTGAAGAAATTATGCATTCATCTTTTCATGAAAGTTTGTTACGTGATCAGTCATTCAGCCATTGAACTCTCTTGTCTCTTAATGATTTTAACTATAACTCTGCATTCTTGAATATCAAAAAGTCAATTTACATCAATACCCCAATGTTTCATTTTCCTGTTATTTCCTCATCTAATCTAAATGTGGCCACCACGTGAGCACTGAAAATTTCTGCTCCCGGAATGTTGCCTGACCAGAGAATTGGCGAGAACAAATTTGTATAAAATTTAAACTCCTCCGTGTGAGGTTGTTGACTTGCTCACCGAGCTGGTAAGTTTGTTCACAAATGTTTCATCACCATGCTAGGTAACATCATCAGTGCACCTCCGGTGAAGCGTCAGTGGTCAGTCCCGCTTGCTATTTATGTGTCTTGGTTTTCTGGGGTGGATGGCATCACTTCCAGATTTGTTTCTTCGTGGTTGGTATATGGAGTCCTATTCTACATGTTGTTAATGGAGTTCCAGTTTGAGTGCCAGGCCTCCCGGAATTCTCATGCGTGTCTTTGGTTGGCTTGTCCTAGGATGGCTACGTTGTCCCAGTCGAATTGATGTCTCTCTTTGCCCATGTGTCTTGAAATGAGTGATAGTTGGTCATGTCTCTTGGTAGGTAGTTGGTGTTCATGAATGCTGATGTCAGATACCAACACTTACCAACAGGTGGCAACAGACCCAACACCATAACTGGAAAACCGTATTATTACTACCCTGAGGAATCTACACAAAACGGGTGAAATTAACAAATTTGATTACCAGAGAATGAAACCAGAGGGATCAAATACACCCCGCTTCTATGGACACCCTAAGGTACACAAGCCAGAGGTCCCCCTCAGACCCATAGTCTCACTGCCAGGTACACTGACATTCAGACTAGCCCAAGAACTACAAAGGAGACTGAAAGACCTTGTAGACGGTTCAAACCATTCCATTCACTCCCCCAAGAATTCCTCAACCTCATCAAGGACACCAGAACAGATGAAGACAAGATCATGGTCTTCTTCAACGTGACTGCATTATTTACCTCCATATACATCCCCTTAGCTAAAGAAACACTGGCCTCACTACTAGACAGACTAGGGATACAGACACCTGACAACACCAACACCATCAGCAAAGACGGCATCCTTAAACTACTGGATCTGTGTCTCACAACCCACTTCACCTTCAATGGCAAGATATACAGACAAATCAACGGAACACCCATAGGATCACCAATATCAGGATTAATAGAAGAAGCTGTAATGCAAAGACTGGAATGGACAGCACTTCCCACCATCCAACCAAAACTACAGATCCGCAATGTGGATGACACTTTTGTGATTATCAAATGCACTAAACTGGAAGAAACCCATCTACTCATAAACAACATCCTCACCAGCGTAAAATTCACCAGGGAAGAGGAGAACAACAACAGACTTCCCTTCCTGGATGTAATGGTCGAACACATAGCCAACAGTGAGCTCCAGACCAGCATACACAGGAAGGCCACCCACATGGATTGGGTACTCAATTACAATAGCAATCATCCCAATACCCACAAATGGAGCTGCATCAAAACACAGTTCAAGTGAGCTGCACACACTGCAGCACCCCAGAGCTACACAAAGCTGAGGAAGAACACTGTTACAGCATCTTTAGAAACAACAGTTACCCAAAAAACATAGTCAATTGATACCTACACAACAGACCACAACAGTTAGCACAACACATCCAGAGACACTAATAATCCTTACATACATTAAGCGCATGTCTGAAATGACCACCAGATTACTCCGACCCATAGGAATTATGGTAGCTCACAAACCGACAGCTACACTACGACAGCTATTGATGAGAATAAAGGATCCAACAACCACAACTAACAGAACCAACATTATTTATAAGATACCAAGCAAAGACTGCCAAAAACATTACATAGGGCAAACTGGAAGGAAGCTAGCCATCAGGATTCATGAACACCAACTAGCTACCAAGGGACATGACCAACTGTCATTCATTTCAATACACATGGACAAAGAGGGACACCAATTCAACTGGGACAACATAGCCACCCTCGGACAAGGCAACAAAAGACGTGCACAAGAATTCCTAGAGGCCAAGCACTCAAACCAGAACTGCATTAACAAATATGAAGACTAGGACCCCATATACGAACCACTAAGAAACAAATCTGGAAGTGATGCCACCCACCCCAACAAACCAAGACACATAAATAGCAAGCAGGACAGAACACCGATGCTTTAGTGGTGGCGCACTGATGATGCTACCCACCATAGTGACGAAACATTTGTGAACAAACTTACCAGCTTGGTGAGCAAGTCAACAACCGCATCAACAATCCGAGCTACAGATCTTCTCAAAAACCTTGATCCTCTGTGTGCCTTGTGATTTTTGACTCAATGTTAATTTGTATTCATTGGTGGACTCTTACAGGGCAGTGTGGGTACTGGAGTGCAGATTCTGGGAGTCTCCCATAAAGGAATCTGTCTACTAAAACTAGTGAGAGCCAGCAGCACAGCAGCAGAGAACCTGAGGGTCCTCAGAAGTTACAGGTATGGAAAGCAGAAAGCAATATTTTCCACTTGCCCCACTATCCTGAGAGAGTAACTCACCTTGATCCATCTTTCCATGGGCTCTTTGGTAACTCACAAAATGCCTTTTCTTCTTTTGTTCACCTAGATATAATTTGATTAGTGTGCTCATTACCATAGTGAGCATCACAGCTGAATTTGATCCTTTTACCTGCACATCCTGCTGGACAATGACCAGTAGCAATGACTCCCCTCTCTGCTTCAAGGGTACTGTAACCCCAACCCATTTTTGGCACCCTCAAGATCAGCTGACTCAACTTAAACATTACAGTTGGAAAATCCCTAGTTTGTGTGGCTCAGTAACACATCCAACAAACCAACAAGGAAGTTTCTGTCATTCTCTCTAGGCTATTGTTTATGGTCTGCACCATATCCTCCATTTTGTAAACATTGGCTCAGGCCCACCCCCTGTCCATTGTCTGATGCCAGACCATTCACAACAATGGCCATTCACAACAATAATTGACCCTGAGCTGAACATCAGATTCAAAACCTCTCCATCACCAACATCACCTATTTACACTTCAATGGTGTTGTCCACCTCCACACTCACCTCAGCTCACATGTTGCTTAAAGACATGCCCACACTTTTGTTCCATCCAGACTTGACTATTCGAACCTGGCCAGCCTCCCACCTTCCATTCTCTGTAAACTAAAATTCTGCAGTCCAACGTCAAAACTCACACCAAACCATATTCACATCTTCTCTCCCTGTGCTTGCTAACCTACATTAGCTCCAGGTCTGACTGCCTCAAATATAAAATTCTTATACCAGCTTTCAATTCAATCCATGATCTCACCTTTTCCCATCTCTATAACATGCTCCAGTCTTACAAGTTTGCAAGATAACTGTACAGCTCCAATAAGCCCTCTCGTGTAACCTTAATTTAATTAACTTCATTATTGATGGCCACGCCTTCAACTTCCAAGAGATTAAGCTCTGGAATTCCCGACTAAATTTCTTTGCTTCTCTTTTCCTCTTAACCCCATCTCTTTGACAATTGGTCACAATTTCTAATATCTTTTTATAAAAACAAAACAATGCAGATAGTGGAAATCTGAAATTGAAACAGAAAATGATAAAAATAATCAGTGGGTCTCTCAGCACCTATGAAGAGAGAAATGTTTAATTCCCCTGATCTTCTGAAGAGCAACAATCATCACTGAATTGTCACATTATTTAAATACTTGCCGAACTCAACATGGTTCACCATTTCCACCTCAGTCTTCTGAATTTACTGTCTCACAAAAGGATATGCAGTATCCCTCAGAACTCAATCAGTTCGTAGTAAAGTCAAAAGAAGACAACACATGCACCTTTTTACAGACTTGTTGATGTACGGTAAGCTTAAATGTCCAGTCTGACTGGTAGTGATTGAGTGGATGAGGAAGTGGGGTACTTAGCTGAGTGGGTAGTGGAAAAGTGAGTGGTGGGTAGGGGTAGATTGATGAATGGGAAGTCAGGTGGGAGGGTAGTTGGGTCAAGTTGGGGTGGGGATGTGTAGCCAGGAATGTCAGGGGCACAGTCTGGAGGTCAGGGGAATATTGGTTGATCAGTGGATGGCTTTGAAGGTAGTTGGGGATTTGGAATTATTGTTGGCTGGTGGTGGGAATAGTTGAGTCAGTCAAGATAATCAGAGGGTCATGAGAGTAATGGGAGATTGTAACTGGGAGGTTGGAGGACAGGTTGGCTACATGGTTGGAGGGATAATCGGGACGGTAGTCAGGTTTTTGGAGGGATGATTGGAGGGTAGCTACCAATGTGTTAGACTAGCTTTTATCCTGACTGACATTTCCTGGACAACTTTTAAGGACAGTACATTGGACCTATCCCAAATCTTGAACTCTATAACTCAGAGTCATTGACATTCAGAGAGGATTTGCAGAGCAGAGGAATTAACCAATGGAAGTTTGGAGCTACCAAGCAAATTCCCATGTCAGTCTGTATGTCAGGACCTCCACAAGATCCCAACACTCATCTCAGTTATAAGCTCAGTCTCCAACAGTCCAGCAACCAGAAGATTTAGCCCAATATTAGAGATTGATAACCTTGAGAAAAGATAAAAAATTATTCACTTGAAACGTTAACTCAGTTTCTCTCTCCACAGAAGCTGCCACACCTGCTGATTATTTCCAGCATTTCATATTGTTATTTCTAACATCAATGTATATGATTCAGTTTCATATTTTGTTTGGAAATTGCTCTTGTGAAATGCCGTTAGATATTTTATTACTGTAAATATGCTCTCTAAATCAAGTTGTTGATGCGGGCTCCTGACCTGCCCTGGCAAATCTGATATTACCTTTACCTTTGTTAGTCTATGACCAGCCAGTAGGAGGTGCCATAACCTCATGGGGAAGGTAACCATACCTGACAACTTGTAATTGAGGTGTGAGGAATCACTCACAGATGTTGTATGGGCTGGGGAAGCAATCATTGCCAGCTAATAGTTGGGGTAGAGTGCTGCCATCAATCCTCCCTTTTACGACAAAACATGAAATGGGTCATGTGCCTCCTTTCTATGTATTTTTAATAAACCTTTTCAGGCATGTTATGACACATCTTAGAGGCAATTAGGAACCTGGCCACTGAGCAATGAGACCCCTGTTGAAAGTTTTTCAATCAACTTGTTTGGGCAGGCTGAGACTTGAACCAGGATCTTCTGGCCCAGTTATAGGAATGCTGCCACTACACCAGACAACTTTATAAGCCCCCTTGCTATGCTTGTTAAGTAAATAAACATTATTGGTTTAGACAGCCCCAGGTGGGTCTCAATAACAAAACATCAAAATATCAACGAAAACTTACAAAAGAAACTTATCCACATTAAGTTAAAATTTGATTTCTATGAAAGGCCTGTAAATCTTCTTTTCTATTCTTTTAAATGTACAAATTAGACAGCCCCTGGTGGAAAAAATGATTTTTAATCATTCTGTTTAGATATAATTCCACGGCAGGTGGTATTTGAACCAGGACCTTCTTGATCTATTACTACTGTGGCACATGAACCATATCCTCTTTTCTATCTTGAGTCTTAGGGCTTATTTGGCTAACAGTGGTAGAGGATGAATTACTAGTGAGTCTCAATGAGAAGAGACGCTTGTCTTAACAAGATGTATTTTATTGTACAATGGCAATGGATGCAAGTTACAGTGGCTCATTAGGCACAATTACTGAGCATATTAGAAGACATTGATGGCACATCTATCTCCATTGAGATTTTGAACCAGATTCCTCTCTTATTCCCACCCAAAACTGTATGACATGTTTAGATTGGATGGAGTTTGTTGCCGTCTTCAACATTAACCCTTACAAGACTTCTGAGCCTTTTCACTACTTTAGATTCAATAAGACAGATATGTCCCTGTGGGACCAGAAGTGTGTTGTGGCGTTATAGAATATTACAGCACAGAAGGAGGTTGTTGACCCAATGTGAGTGTACCGGTTCCCAAAAGAGCTACCCAGGTAGTCCCAAACTTCATAGCTTTCTAAATTCATCACTTTCTAATTTATATCTAGTTCTCTTTTAAAACCTCATATGGAATCCACCTCCACCACTCTCCCAAACAATTCTCTAAGTAAACATGTTTCTCCTCATCTCATGCCTAACTCTCTTGCTGACAATCTTGAAATTATGGCCTCTGGTTACTGACATACCAACTAGTGGAAACAGAATATCTTTCTTTACCTTGTCAAATTGTTCTTTTGAACAGTAAGATCACCTCTTAATCTTCTTCAAGAAGAATAAGCCCAATTTCTCTAATCTTTCCTTTATCTGACATCCCTCATTCCCTGGTATCATTCTAGTTTCCTGAATGTGTTCTCAGTCTAATTATTCTTCTAATGGCCACCTTTCAGCTACTCGGACATCTTATTTGCCACCATCCCTTCTAAAAACATGCTGGACTTCAACCTCACCAATGAAAAGCTGATTCTGTTTTCCTCCAAGGCTCCACAAGTTAAGAGTATGATTGATTACTTCATCACTGAACTGAAGAAGGTGTGTAAAGAATTTGCTTTTATGCTTTTTCATATGATCACTGCATGAAGGAGATAATTAATGCTTCTCAGAAGTTTTCTGTTTGTGAACCAAGACATGAATTCTTTACTCTGAAGTAAAATGTCATGGGTCAAAGTCCTATTTCAGAGACTGGAAAACATAATTCATACTGTTCCTCTGAGGGTTTGTTATTACTGAGAGTACTGTTACTCTGCAGTCATGGCAGTGCCATCTTTCATAAACTAAGGCCACATCAACCTTTTCAGGTGGCTATAAGATTCTCATGGTAGTGATCAAAAGTGCAGGGGAATTTTCCTGTGACCTGGTCAACATGTATTCCTAAACTAACATCACTAAAACAGAATATATGGCCATTGCTGTTTGTGGCACTCATCAGTGCTTTCCTACATTACAACAATGGCAACATTTCATCATCCCTTATTGGCTGAAGTTGAGAAAGGTACATTATAAATGCAAGCTGTTTCTTTATCTCTGCATCAACAGCTTCAATTTTCTGTTCTCTTGTTAAATTAGAAAATGCAGACCACAGTGCTGGCAGCAGTTTCAAATGCTGTTGCAATTTAAATAATAAAGAAGATTTGAAGAGGATCTGCGTAGTACTGGATTGCACACATGTCCTTTCACCGCTAGATATTAATTCAGTCATTTGGTGAAACATGCCAATCAAAAAGTATACAGAAGGTAAAAGCAAAATACTGCAGATGGTGGAAATCTAAAATAAAGACACAAAAGTGAATGGAAATATTTAGCAGATCTGGCAACTTCTAGTTTGTGCTTGAGTCAGATATGATGTTTCTTCAGAACTGGTTCAGAACAGTCCCTCATTTCACAATCTCATTTACAGAGTTCAGGAATGGCTGGATTGGCAATGAGCTTTCACTCTGGTACTGGGATTTGTACCTAAGGGCAAAATCTTGCGCTGGTGAATGGGAGTTCACGTCAGTGTGACTTGTTTCAGGCTCTAGCGTAAAAACAATGCCCTGCATTACAATATCACCAATATACTGCCATTAGCATGCTATCCACACCTCCTCATTTTATTGATCAACCTCTGGTATCCAAGTTGTATTCTGCCCCTGGACTCCATTGCCCGGAGGCTCATCACTTTTTACTGCATTGCCTCATTAGTGCTTTCCCAGTCTCCTCATAATGCTGCTGTGCCTTCACTCAGCTCCCCCACCTACTGATGGCTTTCAGTGTCTTGGAAATTTTTTTTACATGGTCAGTGCTATCTCTTATCAGTGGCTGTGGCTAGTAAGACAGAGAATTAATGTTGCCTTTATATATGACCTGTCACCAGGATTCTAACTATGTAATAGCAGTGAAGAGTCACATCACAAATAACATCTCCTACCTACGATTCCACAAGGGTGACATCATTCGTTTACAACCCATGGATGGTCTTAAGGAAGGTCAGTGTCTGTGGATGTATAATTATTCATTCGTTGGGCTCAGGTACAGAAGATAAAAGCTAATTCCAGCTTTTGTCTCTAAATTTGAGCTTTGGAGTGATTGTAAGCAATATATCCATTTGTAGTGTGTGGCTGTTTAATTTAACTGCATAGAACCTTTCATTCTTTTTGTGAAACCACACTCAGGCAGTGACTTAAATGGGCCTCCCTGTGCCTAGCCTTTGCAAGAACTCTCTAGGTGTTGTGAGGGGATATAGGTTGTAAGTAAATGGATGTTAAATAGGTCATCTGTGTGGAACTGAAAATCCCACACAAAACTCCAAGTATATCTGACTGGCTCAGCAGTGATGCCCACTATTGATGGTGCACTGGTACTCCCTGTCAGACTCACATTCGAGCAGGAATGGCCATTTGATTCAGTTCTGGCTGGAGTTAATCCAAGCAAACATTAGCAGATTCAGAGAGGAGGACAGAAAAGTGCAATCAGATTGGATCACGTGTCTTTCGAATTTCTGACTTTCAAATTTCTGACTGGGTATTTTGTAGTTCTACAATCCATACAGTTGTTCATGCAACACCATCAGATGAGTAGCATGTGCCCCAACATTGGGTGGCATGGGGTGAGTGTGGATTCACACTTTGGTGTCAGTGAGTGTGGATTCACACCCTGGTGTTAGTGAGTGTGAATTCACTCCTGGGTGTCAGTGAGTGTGAATTCACACTCTGGTGTCGGACCACTGGTTTGTATTGTGTCGTGTTTCTGCACTGCTTGATTTTTGTGCCTCTCATGTTTTGTGTCTGCCCTCAGACCATTGCTATGGCTGTATAGTCAGGAAGAAGGTCATATACCTCGAGGACCTAAAGAAATACACTCCTGATTTTGGTGGGTTGGAAGCAGAGTCAAGTTGCTTCCTTTTTGTTTGCGTGTGACTCATCCTTCCTCCTTCTTCCACCCTCTCCCTCCCTGTAACTGCTGATTTCTGACACAAAAAGATTTTGAAATTAGCCCATTTGATTGCTAAATAACTAGTCAGTGCTAGATCTATAGTGGGCAGCCCCAGATCTGGTGTGAATGGTCACACTGGAGTGGGGGTAGTTCCAAGTCTGGTGTGAATGATCCACTCCAGTGTGCACATTCTCAGATCCTTTACTAATCAGCCAGGATTCTATCCTCTCCTGCTATAACATGTGCGCAATGTGTGGATTCTGGATTGGGCTCAACCCTACCATTGAGACCAATTCACTAGTTGGAAAGACGCTGAAGGATTTTAAGCATCGCTAATCCCAGGAGAGAAGGGAGAAATCTGGAAAAACTGTCAACCGTGTTCACTAAAATACTAACAGTATGAGTTACAGTGTTACATACCTTTCTGATTACAGTCAATCTCCATTTCACCTTAATGCTCCTTCTCACTGTATTAATGTTCCATCTTGCAGTGTTAGTGCTCCATTGCTTTCAAACAAGCTGTTTGCTTGTGGACTGAATTGAGTGAACATATTCTGCTGATATATTCTATCTGTGGTGTTTTAGACCTGGTGTGTGCACGTTTGATGTGTTTTATGTTTACTGAGGCCTCACCCATTTTGGATCCAAAGTTGTCTATATATGGACTATCGAAATAAAACTTGAGAAAAACCAGAAGCAGCTGCCTCAGCATTGGAAAGGGAAAACAACAGCTAGTTTTCGTTACAAGTCATGTTCCAGGCAAAAAAGAAGCTTTCTCCATAGTTTGAGATTGTCATGAACTCCTGCCAGTTTCCAATGTGTTGTGCTTTTTATTATGTCACTGTATTACAACAGAACAAGTAGCTGCAGATGTTTCAGTGCCTCCACCAAACAGCCATGATGTGGAAGTGCCTGTGTTGGACTAGGGTGGGCAAGTTTAATTGAAAACACAAGCTTTTGGAGCCTCGCTCCTCCTAAAGAAGGAGTGAAGCTCAGAAAGCTTGTGTTTTCAAATAAACCTGTTGGACTATAACCTAGTGTCATGTGATTTCTGATGTTGTCCGCCAAGTACAGTGGATATGAAAGTTTTGCTTAACATCAATATTTAGGATGCTGTAGGCAGCAAACAAGTGGTTTCCACTGTTGCTGTAAGACTAGTGGTTGTTAATTCAAAGTTGTTCACTGAAGATTTTATCTTGTCCAATTTAAAATTTTTGTTTGTTTTCATCTTGCACAGTTTAAAATTTTTATTTGTTTTGGTGTGTTTCTTTTCATCCTTGTCAATGTCAGGGATTTACAGTAGATCCCAGTATCAGCATCAAACATTCATGTGGCAGGCACAGCATTGGCTAGATAGAGCAAAGTTCCCTCTTCATCGTTCCATTAAACACTCCCAGATCAAGTATAACACTGTAAAAGGTTCGACATATTCAATTGTTTAATTTAACTGCTTTTGATTATGTTAGTCTGTTGGCTGATCTGTGTTACAGTGCTTGATTAATTAAGTCTTGGTATAGCTATGAGATCTAAAATAAACAGAAGTTTCCAGAGAATGACTGGAGAAGCCAAAGCTCTGAACATGAGGAGACATCATGTGATTCCTGAGATATTTTAATAAACTTAGACTAAAATCTAGCATCATTTCTGCATTGCTCTGAGAGAAATCAAGTATATATTATAGAACATAACCAGCGATTACACAGCAGATATAGAGTAAAGCCCTCCATACTGATTCTTCTAACACTCACAGGGCAGGTATGGTGCTGGCTAGATACACAATAAAGCATATTGTCTTGCCAGACACTGTCATGACAGGTACAACATGGGTTGGATAACGATTAAAGGTCCCTCAAAGCATTTCCAGGCAGTTGCAACATGGTTACATGTAGTGTCCCATCACATACTCTCAGGGCAGGCATAGCATGGGGTCAATACAGAGTAAATGTTGGGTATTGTGACTTGGGAGGAGAGATGGACATCTGTTGGTCACGTGCCTTCTGGCAGCTATTCTGAGAACTGCATTCTACAGAAGCAGTTGAGTAGATTGCGACTCTGCGTTTGTGTTGCAGATATTGGATGATAGTAGAACTGGGTAGTCCCCCTGCTGTTCAAGCCCATGTATAAACAGATAAAGCTGCCTAGATCGATGAAAGTTCACAGCACTCATATTCCTCTCTTTGAATTAACGTAACTGAAACATATGAAGATTTTTATCCACAGGTACCAAGCTGCTATGAAATAACAAACATTTGCTTGTTTGGACAGGCTGGAAGTTTGGAGCATTCCATGGCAGGTCTGGGCTTTTCCCTGTGGAATACGTGCAGCCTGTGGCTGCCCCAGACTTTATTCACCTAAGCACAGACAAGAAAGAAGAACCAATGGACAAAAAGGGCAAAGTAGCAGCTTCAGCCTCAGCCACTGTGGCAGCTGCAGTGGGATCGACAGCAGCAGCTGAAGAACTGGACAGAAAGTCAGAGGTGCAGATTTGATCTTCCAGACATTCACACTATTCCATTACACTGCACTGTCACTCTTATCTATGCCCATATTAAAGGACAGGGGCTATCTTTGTAGCCTGAGACAGACCAAATGATAATTTGTTTAGCTTTGCATTAACATTACATGCATTGTAGTATCATAATGTAGTGACAGTTTTACATCTGTTCTGGTGAGTAATTGACAAGCAATCAGATGGTTGCAAACTATCCCTTATGCTTCTGTCTTACTTATTTGCTAGACTTTTGACTTAGAGCTTCACCCATTCTTAAGAATTACAGAAAATTTTGCAACAGCTTATCAACATCAGGTTAATCAACTCTTCCAAGTATGCCAGTGGTTAAAGCAACAATCAGTGAAGCCACAAACGTGACCAGAGATCCTGATATTGATTTGTATGCTGTGCTAATTATCTGGTCACAGTATCAGCTTACCTGATTCCCATGGGCTGGCATGTGTAAAATCAACTAGAGTTCCTATCCCTGGTCACTATTCAGTATTTCCTGCAAGAAGGTGCAGATAATTGATAATGGATGACAGGGTGGGATGACAGGGTGGCTTTGGCTCAGTTGCATAATCAATGCTCACTAATCATCTTAAAATGTTTAAGTAGGGTGGAGTCAGTATCAGTGGAGCAGGAACTGGTGGGCAAAAGGTCAGTATCACTTTAGTGGCAATTATTAGTACAGAGTCAGTAGCAGTTGGATTGAATGTTTAGTAACTGCACGAATGGATGAACACCAAGTCAGTATCTGAAGAATAAATGGTACAAAGTCGTCAGTGGGAATGGTTGGGGACAGAGTCTGTACCAGTGGGAATGGATGGGTGCAAAGTTAGTACAAGCAGAACTGCTGCATTTCGCAAGTCATTGGTGATGGAAGGATAGGTTGACAGAATGGTTAATACAGTATCCTTGGCTTTATTAATGGGAGCATAGAGTATAAGAGAAAGAAGGTTATGTTGAACCTGTATAGAATACTACTTTGGATTTACCTGGAGTATTACATCCAGTTCTGGGTGTTGCACTTTAGGAAAGATGTGGAGGCATTGGAGAACGTGCAGAAAAGATTTGCAAGAATGGTTCCAGGGACGAAGGTAAATTGGAAAAGTTAGGATTGTTTTCCTTGGAGAATAGACAATTGTGAGGAGATTTAATTCATGTATTCAAAAACATGAGGACAGATTTCATAGGGAGAAACTGTTCCCAGCCATGAAAAGATTGAGAATGAAAGGGCACAGATTTAAAGTACAGATTTAAATTAGTAAAAGGATCAAAAGTGACATGAGGAAAAGCTTTTTCATGGATTGAGTGGTTAAGATTAGGAATGCCTGAAAGTGTGGTGGAAGCAGGTTCAATAGAAGCAATTGTATTCAAAATACAATTCAACTGTTCGCTCACAATAAAGAAATACAGTGGTTACAGGGAGATGGTGAAAGAATGGAACTAAGTGAATTGTGCATCCATAGAGCTGGTACAGACTTGATGGGCTGAATGGCTTCCACTTGTGCTGTAATAAATGTGTAATTGTGATCACATTATATCCAAGTGAGGAAGGACCAATGTTCAAGCAACAAAAACAGAAAAGGGGAGAAATCTAGCGGCAAATTATAAAAAGTGTACTAGTTTTATCTTGTGTAAATCTCAGCTTGTAAAGAAAATAAGTAATGTTTCTCAGTAGACTTAAAAAACAGATAAGGGGCTGTATATGAACTGAAATTAAATTTAACCCACAGTCTATCGCACCAGTACGTGCAGGCAGGTGGCTAGGGAATCTAGGGAGGTGAACACAGACATCTGCAGGGAGTCTGAGGTTTGAATCTCTCCTTTCAGAACAGAGTCCTGTGTCAGAAAGATCAGCTTTCTCACCCTGATCTTTCCCCACGTGCCAAAATGCCATAATGGGAAGAAGTAGAGCTCCTAGTGTTGAAATTATATTTTGGGAACTCTCAGCAACTGACAGAAATAATAGAGTGGGGGAAGCTTCCATTGTCTGAATGGTATAATGGAGAGAGGGAGGAGATCCCAGTGGGATGGATGGGAACTCGCACAGTTTTATTGATTGTATGGAGAGGGGGATCTCACCTTTGAGTGAAAGATGTATGGAATCTATTTAAGATGGAATAAGACGGAAGTTAAAACACTTAGAACTGGGGAGAGATGATGAAAGGAGTTTGAAAAAAAAGTTGAATTTTTCTCATCATCACCCTTTCCTTACCTCTTTACTGGAGAACATGACGTCTTACCAGAGTCCAGTTTCATAGATATTTGTCCATCCCTGTAGCATCTACCAACTCTCTCCTGCTTCAACTCATCTGCAGCTGTAACCCTAATCCATTCTTCTGGTACCTCAAGACTTGACTGCTCCAAAACACTTGTGGCTTACATCCTGTATTTGACAACTCTATAAACTTGGTGTCATCTAAAACTCTACTGCCCGTCTCCTAATTGGTACCAAATCCCATGCAATCACAATGCCTCCTGATGTATACTGACTCCCAGACAAGCAAGGTCTTGATTTTAAAATTCTTATCCTGATTTTGAAATTCTTCCAGGGCCTCACTTTTCCCTGTCTTGTAGGCTGTTCAGTCCTACACGCCTCTTGGTGTATTGGTATTGATGTTGGTGTTCTTCCATTCCTGTCTCTTAAGCATCCCTGATTTTAATTTCTCCATCATTGGTGGCTGTGCCTTCAAAGGCCTCAGCCCGAAGTTCTGGAACCTCTTCCCTAAATCTCTTTGCCTGTCTATGTCTGTCTCCTCCTTAGGACATTTCTTAAAACCAACCTCTGACCAAACTTTTGATCATCTGCCCTAATGATATATGTAGCTCCGTATGAAATTTTGTTTGACAACGCCTGTAAAGTGCTCTGTGAAGTTTTACTATATTAAAAGTGACATAAGTACAAGTTGTTCTTTTTATTGTACTGGCTGACCTGTTGTAGTTCACTGATGAACCAAATCAGGTTCACCTCCACCTCTGCGCTCATCTGACTGCTAGGCTGCAGATTTCAAATATGGGTTACTAGAGGGATCATCAGAAGAACAAATGAGTAACCTAAGTAAAAACTGAAACAATTATGGATGTTGGAAATCAGAAACAAAAATCAAAACTTACTGGAAGAGCTCAGCAGGTCTGGCAGCATCTGTGGAGAGAAATCAGCGTTAACGTTTTGGGTCCATTGACCCTTCCTCAGAACAGGTGGCAGCTAGGAAATTGTTGATTCTAAAGCAGAAGATAGCGTGGGGAGAGCGGGGTAAGGAGTAAATGACAGATGAAGATAGAACCCAAAGAGAGAGAAGAACAGTTGGAAAGACAAAGGAGTGGAGAACAATCAAGCTCGGACGGTGAATAGCTCCTAATGGGCACTGTTAGTGGCTAACACGCATTTCTGTCTAATAGGAGACCATGTGATAACAAGGCCTAGTGTGTGAGGGTAGGGGTAAGGACATGGCAGTGTCCGCGTGTGTGTGTGTGAAATGATTAATCTAACCCATTGTTGAAGGGGGACACTCATTACAGAGTTCCTACTGACATCCAGGCTGGCTCAGTGTGAAATGGAGCTCAAGACTAGGACTCTGTCTGTGGTATCTGCGACCTGCTGCCTCAACATGTTTCTCTGTCCAGTTCATTATTTTACTTTTCTGCAGGCCTCCCCACCAGTCAATGAGCTTATGGAGAGTATACCTGAATATGTCCTTCAGGATAACCAGTACACCATGATCGAATTTGCCAAGAAATACTTCCGTCAGCCCCACAAGTTAAAAAGGTGAGTGAGAAACAGGCATTGATCAGTGTGAATCCACAGTTCATCCAGACTGCACAAGTGAACAAGCCCAAGTGTGACCTTTCTAGGTATGAGCTTGACATCTGAATTATCAAACATAAAACTGTTTGAGAGTGATGTGGTCAGTCATGTGATGACAGGCCTCAACCACTCAATATTAATCTATTCCCTTTTGTCTTGCGTCTTTCACTTTCTCTACACCTCTTCCATTCTTCATTTGGAATATAATTTGTACTGTTTACCTTGTGTTTACCTTGTACCATCTGTCTTTTGCCTACATCTCTGTACTCTTACATAAACCAAGTTGGATAAAAATCAATTTAATTTGCTCATGCTTGATTAAGTAATCTTCAGATTTTGGGTGAATGAATTCTTGCCAAAGCTAAATCACAAGTATGCTTTAAACATTCTTCATTGTCTACAAAGCACCTTTTATATTCAAAGTACATATATATGCCTAGCAATTGATTGACAGATCATTGAAAACAATTAGCAGCTGTTCCACATGAAATTCAATGTCAGCACTGAACATAGAAAAGGATACAATCCTTTTAAAGAATACAATCTAAAACAAATGTATATATTATTTCTAACACCCCGAATGAATGTGTGGTAAACACGTGTAATACACCTGATAGTGCATATCGAATAGCAAATGTGATCAAGACAGATCCCATGTATTTCTCAGCATTTCCCCCCAGATGTTAATGACACAATGGGTCATCAAATATCATTAACTTCATAAGGGATTACAATTCTTCACTTTTACTGATGTGGCCTTGAAATTCCTGCTGAAGAGCTGTTCCATCATGGACTGCCTCAACAACTGTGTCTGTTCTGGGACATTCCCCTGGGACTCAAAAATTGTATTCAGTACATATTCACGACCATAACTCCAGCTCTTCACCAACTACTGGCTTCACCAAACTAAAAAGTACCCCTGAGACTTTCCTAACCTACAATCTTGCTCAGCTGCATGAAGTAAATATAGCTTATGGGTTTTTCATCTCCCACATTCTCTCAACTCCAGTGCTTCACAGCTTGCTTGACACAGAACCAGTAGCCTTCTAACTTTTACAATTCCCCAGGACTTCTTCTGAGTCCTAACTCCAACTCTTAGGTGCTGGAAAAACTCAGCAGGTCCGGCAGCATCTGTGAAGGAAAAAACAGAGTTCTGAGGAAGGGTCACTGGACCCGAAACGTTAACTCTGTTTTTCCCTTCACAGATGCTGCCAGACCTGCTGAGCTTTTCCAGCAACTTTGTCTTTGTTCCTGATTTACAGCATCTGCAGTTCTTTTGTTTTTTGTTTTTTATCCAACTCTTAGCTGCTTACTAATTAATAGAGCTTCTCTCTGAGTTCATTTCAACAGCACTGAGTCAGCCAGTTGCTGTCTCCTCTGCAGGACATCTAAAAATCAGCCATAAGACCATAAGACATAGGAGCAGAAATTAGGCCATTCGGTCCATCAAGTCTTCTCCGCCATTCACTCGTGGCTGATAAGTTCCTCAACCCCATTCCCCTGCTTTCTCCCCGAAACCCTTGATCCCCTTGATAATCAAGAACGTATCTCTCTCAGTCTTAAATGTACTCAATGACCTGGTCTCCACAGCCTTCTGTGGCAGTGAATTCCATAGATTCACCACTCTCCGGCTGAAGAAGTTTCTCCTTATCTCCATTTTAAAAGGTCTTCCCTTTACTCTAAGGCTGTGCCCTCAAATCCTAGACTCTCCTACCAATGGAAGCATCTTCCCAATATCCACTTTGTCCAGGCCATTCAGTATCTGAAAGTTTCAATTAGAACCCCCCTCATCCTTATAAACTCCAATGAGTATAGTCCCAGAGTCCTCAAACGTTCTCATATGTTAAGCTTTCCATTCCTGGGACCATTGTCGTGAGCCTCCTCTGAACCCGCTCCAGGGCCAGTACATTCTTCCTGAGATGTGGGGCCCAAACCTGCACGCAATACTCCAAATGTGGCCTGACCAGCGCCTTATACAGCCTCAGTAGTACATCCCTGCTTTTATATTCAAGACCTCTCAAAATAAATGCCAACATTGCATTTGCCTTCCTGACTACTGACTCAACCTGCAAGCTTACCTCGAGAGAATTCTGGACTAGAACTCCCAAGTCTCTTTGGACTTCAGACTTCTGAATTTTCTCCCCATTTAGAAAATAATCCATGCTTTAGTTCTTTTTACCAAAGTGCATGATCTCACACTTTCCCACATTGTACTCCATCAGCCACTTCTTTCCCCACTCTCCTAACCTGTCCAAGTGCTTCTGCAGCCTCGCCACCTTCTCAATACTACCTGTCCCTCCACCTATCTTTGTATCGTCTGCAAACTTAGCCAGAATGCCCACAGTTCCTTCATCTAGATCATTAATGTATAAAGCACCGACCCTTGCAGAACACCACTTGTCACCGGCTGCCTTCCTGAGAAAGACCCCTTTATCCCTACTCTCTGCTTTCTGCCAGACAGCCAATCTTCTATCCATGCTAGCACCTTGCCTCTAACACCATGGGCCCTTACCTGACTCAGCAGCCTCCTATGTGGCACCATATCAAAGGCCTTCTTGAAGTCCAGGTAGATAACATCCATTGGCTCTCCTTGGCCTACCCTGCTTATTACTTCCTCAAAGAATTCTAGCAGATTTGTCAGGCATGACCTCCCATTGATGAAGCCATGCTGACTTTGCCCTATTTTACTATACACTTCCAAATATTCAGAAATCTCATCCTTTACAATGGGCTCCGAAATCTTGCCCATGACTGAGGTTAGGCTAATCAGCCCGTAATTTTCCGTCTTTTGCCTTACTCCCTTTTTAAACAGGGGTGTCATGTTAGCGATTTTCCAGTCCTCTGGGACCCTCCCTGACTCGAGCGATTCCTGAAAGATCAACACTAACGCTTCCACTGTCTCTTCAGCTATCTCCTTTAGAACTCTGGGGTGTAGTCCATCTGGTCCAGGTGATTTATCCACCTTCAGGCCAATCAGTTTTACTAGCACGTTTTCCTTGGTGATGGCTACCATACTTAGCTCTGCCCCCTGACTCTCTTGAATTTTTGGGATATTACTTGCGTCTTCCATCGTGAAGACTGACACGATGTAATTATTCAGTTCCTCAGCCATTTCCTTGTTCCCTACTACATTCTCTCCAGCGTCATTTTCCAGTGGTCCAATGTCCACTTTTGCCTCTCTTTTGCCCTTTATATGCCTAAAGAAACTCTTACAGTCTTCATTTATATTACTGGCTAGCTTAGCCTCATATTTAATCTTCTCCCTCCTTATTCTTTTTTTGTTGCCCTCTGTTGGTCTTTGTAAGCTTCCCAGTCCTCTGGTTTCCCACTACCCCTTTGCCACATTATATGCTTTCTCTTTTGCTTTTATGCTGTTCCTGACTTCCTTAGTCAGCCACGGTTACCTCATTGTCCCTGTAGCATGCTTCTTTCTCCTAGGGAGGAATTTTTGCTGCGTCTGCTGAATTAGTCCCAGAAACTCCTGCCATTGCTGTTCCACTGTCTTTCCCGCTAGGCTCCTCTTCCAGTCAATTCTGCCCAGCTCCTCCTTCATACCTCTGTAGTCACCTTTATTCCGCTGTAATACCGTTACCTCTCATTCTATCTTCTCCCTCTCAAATTGCAGAGTAAATTCTATCATCTTATGATCACTGCCTCCTAAGGTTTCCTTTACCTTCAGCTCCCTTATCAAGTCTGCCTCATTGCACAACACTAAATCCAGTATTGCCTGTTCCCTTGTGGGCTCCACTATGAGCTGCTCCAAAAAGCCATCTCATAGACATTCCACAAATTCCTTTTCTTGCAATCCACTACCAACATGATTTTCCCAGTCCCCTGCATATTGAAATCCCCCATGATCACTGTAACCTTGCCTTTCTTACACACCTTTTCTATCTCCTGGTGTATCTTGCGCCCCAGATTCTGACTACTGTTTGGAGGCCTGTACACAACCCCAACTATATTTTTTTTACCTTTGCGGTTCATCAATTCTACCCACACAGATTCTGCACCATCTGACCCTACTTCGTTTCTTCCTATTGATTTAATTTCATTTCTCACTAATAAGGCAACCCCACCCACTCAGCCCACCTGCCTATCTTCTCGATAGGATGTATATCCTTGGATATTTAGTTCCCAATCCTGATCCCCTTGCAGCCATGTCTCCATGATGCCTACCACGTCATACCTGCCAGTTGCAATCTGTGTCACAAGCTCATTTACCTTATTCCTTATACTGCGTGCCCTCCTAAAACAAAATCTGCCCCTGTTTCTTTCACTTTCTCCAACTGTCTGTGATCCCAGAACTGCTTTTCAGTAACCCCTAAATGTCCTGATCGACCTATCAAAAGCCATGTAATAAGCTTCATCCCTGTTGCAGGGCAGAATTGAATCTTGCCGCTTCACAACTCTGGAGCTTTCTACTCTTGAATGATATTATCTTGCCATTTTCACCAAATGCTGGCTTTCCACACCAGGAATGCTTACAAAAAGAATTCTTCATAAGATGTTAAAAGATGTAGTACTTTTAAGGACAGGATGTCAGAGGTACTGAGATGTGGAAGCAAAGAAGAAAAGAAAAATGTAAAATAATAAATCTCCATATTTTAGAAATGTTAATCTCAGAAATATTAACAATTTGACAATTATAAACAAAAAGAAATATACCTGTAACATAAAACAAGCTCTAAAATATCTGTATATATTTTTTTCTCTCTGTAGTGAGATCACCAAAGAAAAGTCTAAAAAAGGCAGAGATCCCAAGGACCCAGCTGAGATGGTGAAGTATACAAAGGTAAGCAATGCCCAATGGTCTAATCATTGCTCCACATCCTACATGATAATTCTTGATTAAATGGCCTTCCAGGAGATGCAGATATTGAAGGGAACTTGCCACCAATGGGAATTAGCCACCCCATTATAAATTGATAGGTCATCGCAGTCTAGAGTGTGCTGGCTGCAAGATGCAGAAACTAGGTGCTTCAAACCAAAATTGTTTGAAGACGTTGATTTCCAATAGGTAAAATTCCACATGAGTTCTTTTGCAAGGATTAGAGAGGGCTATAGTTCAGTTGGCTAGGTGGCTGGTTTGCGATGCCAAGAGATGCCAACAGCATGGGTCCAATTCTTGCAATGGCTGAGGTTACTACAAAGGCTTCTCCTTCTCAACCACTCTCCTTGACTGGGGCGTGTTGACCTCAGGTTAAACCACCACCAGTTGTCTCTCTCTGTCTCTCTCTATCTCTATCTCTCTCATGAGAGAGCAGCCCTATTGTCTGGTAAGACTATCGCTATTATCTTATCTACTCTTGCACAGACCCAGTACCCTTGCCACCACTGTCTCTGAGCAGACCTAGCTCTGGCAAAGTGGAATTACCGTTCTCCCCCGGCCACAATGTGCTTTTTTGGTCTTTCCTAAATGAAGGCCCTGTCCTGAACTTTTATTGAATATTTAGCCTAGCCATGAGTGGATTCAGTCCAGGTTATATTTCCAAAGATGTGAGCTATGGGGAAAGCCATCACCTCTGGATTCTGGAGCGATGATTTTACAAATGTGTACAACCATCACAAAGCCCTTCACATTGGTCACATATAAGATCAAAGTTTGTAGCTGTGACTCCTCACTATGGGCGGCCAGCAGGTAAAGATTATTGTGGGTAGCACATTTTCAGAAAATTGTCCTCCAACCATCTTGTGTTACAGTCCTGAACCCAGCCAACTGGTTTCAGAACCCCAAATCTAATGATACATGCCACTTAATGCATTAGTAGGCACACATACACACACTCTCTCTCTCTCACACACACACATACTTACACTCACACTGACATTCTCACTTGCACATACTTACTTTCTCTCTCACACACTCATTAACAAACACATACACACACTCTGTAACTCAGATACACATACTCTCTCACACACACTCAGGCTCGCATACTCACTCATACACACACTCTCACACAGATTCACTAACACATATACACACTGTTACGCTCACACATGCACACAAACTGACATATACACTCTCACACATAAACACACTTTCTCACTAACACTGTCTCACACACAAACTTACACAAAAACACACATATACTCGAGCATACACGTGCACACTCACTTACAGACAGAAATCACAACATAGTGTTACTTGTGTGTACCCTGATTGACAGGAAATGATGCACAAATCTTTCTACCTCACTAAATGAAATACTTGTGAAATCTTTACCTTAAGATTAATACCTTTACAATCAAATACAATCACACATCTTGTGAATTCTTATTCATTTATAATATTCTCACATTTCATCCACAGACTCCAATCCAAGAGTCCCTGATTGAGTTCTGTGATGAGAATTTGAACAAGGTGGCAGCTGAGATCTTCATTGGTGAGAATGAACACAGATTTCTATTCAAGAAATCATATATAACCCTCACTGCACTCACTGTGTCACTTTCCAGATGTTGCTGTCTTTTTTCTATTATTCTCCGCTCCTAAAAATTACATTTTTCATAATGGGACGTGTCCTGGTCATTAGCCCTCATGGCCTCAACTCACAGAGTGACCAATCATAACATGTCAGCCTGTGCACCGAGAATTGGATGGATAGGGCTCTCAACTCAGCCCCTTACCCAACTCTAACCCCTCTCCTCAGTGCCTTGGCCTCGTCTGAAACCTCCTTGTCACTGACCCCACACTCTACCCTACCTCTTCACCCCGGTGCCTTATCCTAACTCCTTGTCTCACGACTCCTTGCTGTAAAGTCTTGGTTCAAACCAGCCCCCAGAATCCAGCCCCTGCCCCCATCTCCACTCCCAATAGCCTTCAATAAGCAGGCCTGGATTAACAGCAGTAGGGGTCATGATTTCTTCTGCTTGTAAGCTTCTCTGTCCAGTTTCGTCCTAAATCCCTACCTTTGGAGCAACAATCTCCAGAATGACCCAAAAGCTGCAGCTCCAACAACCACTGGGCACTTCAATCATGTAAAATGTTATATTCCAGCTGTACCAAAACCCCCACACCACTCCCTCTCTTCATTCACCCTCAACCTTATAGAGTCAATACTTCTTGCAATACAAAAATGGTTTGGGAATATATTGTGATCAGTGCGATAGATGGCAATCAAGCCCTCAGTGTATTTTACTGTGTGGGGTTACACCCTCTCTTCAGCAGTGATTTCTGGAGGAAGCAAGGGTGAACATGTTAATTTGTTTCCAATAAGTTTGCTTATTGGGCTATTAAATGTGAAAGCTACTGACTCCACTAGGAATTGTACCTGGGTGCTTTATGATCTTTGTTGCTCAATTTGACAACAGGCTTCCTTGTTATCAATAACTCATATGTGCTTCCCTTCTGTAGCTGTTATGAAATTTATGGGGGACCATCCACTCAAAGGGCAGACAGAACAAGACATTGTCTATAGTATTCTTAAGGTAAAGGATAACCATCATGCCTGTTCAAACTTTGATATATATGAATCTGAATATAGCATTTGTATGTTCACACATGTCTCTGTATGAGTGTTCACTATAGCAGCATGACTGAGGGTGTGTGGTTCCCAGACTAAAAATTTGTCCCTTTAGGAAACTTTACCTTGAAGAGGAAATTTAGGCCTCTTGCATTTAGAATGTGAGTGCAATGGGATTTGAGGGAGACATGCCCAGCCATTTCAGCATAAACTTGTGATGTTCAAAAGAAGAAAGAGAAAAGCAGAAAGTGGGTGGGACTTGGAGAGTTTACTGAACTACTGTTGATAGATAAATGAGGCTCTGTTTGGTAGAACTGGGTAACTCCCAAAGGTGACTTGTCAATGAGCTGACTCACTGTCCATTTTAATTCTCAATAGGATGTATCATTGTAGAATTATTGACTTTTGCAGCATGTTGCCCTTGCGTGTGTCCTATTTCCTCCCCCTGATGCTCTAACAAGATTCCTGTCCTTTTACAACCGAGAAAGCAGCATACGTTGGCAGATCACTACCTCCAAATTGCAACCAATGTTGTTTCAGTCACTGTGGCTTCCTGATTAAACCCTGTGTTGCTTTGGTCTTCTGCACAAACAGTATGGGGCCAAACTTTGAACTCAAGATCTCTTTCTGCCAGATTTTCACCTGCTTTCTGGTGAGGAGTTTGATGCTTTCTTTTGATATTGTTCTGTCTTTTCCAGCTGTGCGGGGAACATGAAGTAATGAAAGATGAAACCTACTGCCAGATTATCAAACAGATCACTGACAACACCAGCACAAAAACGTAAGGAGACATACACATGCCAGTCATAACCCCAAGCTGCCAAAATGTAGGGTATTTAACATCTCGGACTCAGCTGTAATACATTCACTGCCATTGATTATTACAGTAGTCACACAGAAGGATAGTTAAAGAAAGATGGGAAGTATTCAATATATGCCTTCAACTAGCCCTTCCTGTTGTAAGTGATATGTGTATTTAATGGCTGTCACAGATTACACTCAAAGACACTTTCAGCTAAGGTAGGTAAGGCATCTGATTGTCCTTGGGGCATAAGGGGTTTAGCGAATATCTGTGAGTGACAAGGGATTCTGGGAATGTATCATCGTAAGATGGAGCTAGAATCAAATGTGAGGGATGCTATAGGAGTGAGGTAGGTACTTAATGAGGTAAGCTTTGTAAGTTACAGCAAACATCTCACTGAGCCTCACGTTGAGAATCCCTCCAAAACACTCCGTGCAACTTGTACTTAGCCACATATTACAAGCGATGTGTGTGTGTGTGTTTAATGGCTCCCACAGACCACACTCAAATGCATTAACAGCAATGGCAGAGGTCATATGACTATGGCAAGCCAAGCAGTACACTAATGGTATGATTGCATTTTTCCAACCACACAGAGAAGAATAGTTAGAGAAAGAGGGCGAGCATTCAGTACATGCCAACAATTTGCCCTTTTTGATCCATAAACTTTCACATTGGGATCCAAGTTCTAGCATATAGTAGCATCTTGGGCCTGCCTAAGAAACTTCTTAGTGCCTGACGTGATGGATACAGTCCCAGTGCAAGGGGAGAGGCTAAATGTAGAGGATGAGTTGATGGGCATGGGGGTGAGAGTTGGACCTCATTGTAATAAAAAGAACTGTGTTTCATCAATGGTTGAGAGGAGACTTTTGACAAATTATGATGTAAGCTGAAACTACTCGCTCCACTGGTCAGCCTGTTTATTTATATCAAAAAGGTAATAGGGGGTTGGGAGCGGGCGATATTAATGTAGAGAAATTTGAAGTGTCGTCTCTGGCTGAATGGTAGCATTCCAATTTTAGTCAGAAAGTCATGGGATCAAGTCACTGGCCAGAGATCCGAGCTCCATTATCCAGGCTCACATTCCGATGCAATACAGACAGGGTGTTGCATTATGAAACATGCCATCTTTCAAAAGATTTGTTAAACTGAGACCTTGCTGCCCTATCAGGCAGGCTTAAAAATTCCACAGCCGCTATTTAAAGAAGAGCAATATTGTTCTTATCAGGTTTTGACCAATATTTATTCATTAACCAACATCACTACAAAATTGTGACCATTATCACATTGCTGTTTATGGGATCTTTTCACGTGTAAATTAGCTGTCATTCTTCCTACATTACGGTATGATTACAGTGAAATGCATCATTGGTTGTAAATCATCCTACAGAAGTATAAGTTCTTTCTTCCTCTGTTTGCAAAAAAAATCTGATTAAGGGACAATAGCAATAGAAGGATTTGATTGCTGCCAGCAATGTGTAGGTTCATGATGTCAGCAAAGTGTTGAAGTTGTTTCAATGTCTGTTGCAGTGATAGTGTTCAGCGAGGCTGGAGACTGCTCTATATCCTCACCGCCTATTACAAGTGTTCAGAAGTGTTCAAGCCTTACCTCTTTAAGTTGCTGGAGTCTGTTTGCAGGATTCCTGGTGCCAGTTTTCAAGGTATTTCTTTTTATTTACTTGTATTTTCTTATGGTGTGAATATCTTCTTTCTTTATGACCTATTTTCTCCATTTTCTGTTTTCAAAAGAATGTGCATAATAGCGCTGTTCAACAGATTGATTGTGACTCACTCTGTGCAGTACTGTCTAAGACACTTCTTACCCACTTTGCCCAATAATGTTTAACAGTTTGATTCTGACCTCTTTGTGCAGGAATTGCTAAAGCTTGTGATCACAACCTGAAGAAAACCTTCCAGTTTGGTGGCAGGACCCAGTTCCCGGATGGCATGGAGCTCAAAGCCATGGTGGTTAGTGAAATAGGTCACCCGTCTAGTTCATTGGGGGATTTTGTTCATTTATCTCTTACTTTTGGCAATCATTTTCCCATCTTCAACTTTTCTAAAAACTGAGGATTTCAAAGATAAACTGAAAGGGGTGAAGCAGATGAGGCATTCAAAGGAGGAAATGTGTCCAAATTTTGATTGTGATTATCCTGCCCTGTTAGTATAGATTTTTGATAAGACAGGTGATAGAAAATGTGGCTAAACTTTGAGAATGGTCAAAGTGTCAGTGCATGCAACCCAACTTTTAGGCAAAGCTACAGTATCTCTACTCCCTTTCGATTCAGAACTGTGTTTGGAGAGCATTGATGAGAGGCTTGTTAGAAGACTGTAAATTTATGATATGAATAGAAATGTGGCTATTTAGATAGAAAGTCTATTGATGGACATCAAACAGAATTATGATAAATAGATGTTCAGCTTGGGGAAGAATTGTAACTCATGATCCTAGAAATCAGTGTTGGAATCCTCATTTGGTCTCAGTGTATGCAGATGATTTGAAGAAATACAAAGAACACACAGTAGGAAATTTGACAATTGAGGAGGACTATAAAATCTTTCAGGAAGATATAGCAGAATGGGCTGTACAGTTTTATATGATTCTGGTGGGAATAAACACTAAATGGGGAAATATTTTAAAAATATATGACTAAAGGGACAAATGAGTTCAAATACATAATTCTGTGAAAGTCCAGAAAGATTAAGGCATAACACGATCAATACTATTTGGAGAATTATAAATAGAGACAGCAGGGCCGGATTTCTAGTGATGGAGGTGGAAATGCATTTGGCAATGATAAAAGCTGGTTGTTTATTTGTAGTAATTTCAAACTTGCAGTGCCATCAGGACTCAGTACTATTTTTGTGTGCCCTTTTTGCAAGTTAAGTACATGCAGTCTTTTGATTTCAGATCAGATTGTTACCCCATAGGAAATTTGAGTTTTCTCCCCTTACTCCAACACCCCCTGTGCCCAACTATTATTTTGTGCTGATGCAGGTATTGGATGGCCTAAAAAAGAACCTCCCCTCCCCCCACAAGTGGGGAAAGCCTGCTATGGTGTATCAGGAACATTCTGATGGGCAGATATTAAATTTTTTGACAACTTCAAGTATTATCACATATTGTATATGTTTTAATTGCCATGGTTCATCATAGGACACTGTTCTTGAAAGTTACGTTGACCATTACATTGACTAGTGCAATTGAAGTATTGAAATGCATTAGAGTACTTTCCCCTATGGAAAAGTGCCATAATGATGCTGTCACTTTAAAAAGTTTATTTTGTCTTTTGTCTTTTTAAAGAGAGGTTGTAAAAGCAGAGGTACCAAAGAGTCTAGAGAGTAACAGTTTAACAATGGAAGGGGAGAAGACAGTTCTCCCATTCCAGGTTTTTTCTAGTCTTTTTTAGCTATAGTGAGTACCAGCAGTGTTGCAAGCTTCAGTAAAGGATTTCTCTGACTTTCTCTGAAATTTCTCTCTGGATGTTGTTCCCTCCTGCCTGTAAGAATCTGTGTTTGAATTTACCTTTTTACCAGGGGGTGTGTTTACGGGATGTTACTGTATTGGAATAGTTAATTAGTTAAGTTGCTATGTTGGGTCAGTTAGGTTTTCCAATAGTTAAGTTAATCTAAATTCCGCTTTCTTTTGTTTGTGTTTCAACTGTGTTTAAATAAATTTTGTTTCGCTTAAAGCCGAGTGGTATAACCAATTGCATCACACCTGGAATACCCACTTTTCATCTGCCTTAAAAATAAAGGAAAAGTTAGGGCCTAGGCTATCTTCTTAAAATATTTTGAGGGGGTCTGGCCTGGTCCATAACAATGTAAAGTGGTACAGAAGTGTGCAACAAAATCTTCCTGTTATTTCTTGGATTATCATTTAAATCTCCAGAGATCTTTTGTTTCTCTACTGTGGAACGTTTCTTTAAACTCAATATCCACTACATTGATTGACAGGCAATCTGTTTTGAAATTGAATGACATCGTGTGGTCTTGCAGTTTCATAATCCAGAGCTGCAATGGTTTGTTTTGATAGTTGTGGCCACTATGAATGTTTAACTAAGTTTCAATAGCAGATCATGCTGAAACTCAGCATTTGGTTTATCGATTACGTTTTGGCTACAGAGAAGATATTTGTTTGTTTTCAAAAATTAATGTCTACTTAATGGGATTCATATTTCTTTCAGCGAGAATTTTTGTTTTCTTCTTCGCAGTATCAATGGCAATGTGTTTGAATAAGATTCATTAGATTGTTTGAGGTTTATTTTTCCCAAATACATTTCAAATAATTTCATCACTATTACATGGCTCCTGAATGCCATATGTCATGGATACTGAATGAGCAATTAGAAACATACATACAATTATAAAAATTAGGAGCAAGGGTAGGCAACTTACCCCCTTGCACTTCCTCCCCAGTTCAGTAAGATCATGGCTGATCTGATTCCTTCACATTCCTGTCTCTCCCCAACAACTTTTCGCTCAGTGACTTATTAAGAATCTATCTACCTCTGCTTTAAAAATATTCAAAGTTTCTGCTTTCAGTGCCTCTTAGGGAAAATAGTTCCAAAGATTCTGTGAAAAAAAATTTGCTTTATCTCAGTATTAATTGTACGACCATTTATTTTTAAGCAATGGGCCCCAGCTAGATTTTCCCATAAAACTTCCTTTCCACAGCTACCCTGTCAAGACCCCTAATATGTTCCAATCAAGCCACCTGTTCTGAACTCCAGCAGATACAAGCCTAGTCTGTCCAACTTTTCCTCATAATACAACCCACTCATTCCAGGTATTAGTTTGGTAAACCTTCTCTGAATTGTGTTCCATGCATTTAAATCCTTCCGTAAATAAGAAGACTAATAGTTTACACAATATTCCAGATATGATCTCTGCTCTGTATAACCATAAAATAATGTCACGACTTCAATTCCCCTTGCACTTACTTGCTGCATTACCATATTAACCTTTCGTGATTCACTAAGACACTCTGTATCCTGAGCTGTAAAAACTTTCACTTTTTAAACAATATGCTTGTTTTTCAATCTTTCTGTCAAAATGGACAGTTTCACTTTGTCATCAGCAAATATAGCAACCAGACTTTCAGACCCTTTGTCCAAATCATGTGTATAAATTGCAAACAGTTGAGACCTAACACTGATCCCTTTGACACACTACGTGTTATATCTTGTCAACCAGAAAAGACCATTATACTGACTCTCTACTTGGTCTGTTAGCTAGCCATTCTTGTATCCATTCCAATATGTTATTCCTATACCACGAGCTTGTATTTTCCACAATAAGCTTTCATATAGCGCCTTAACAAATGCCTTGTGGAAATCTAAGTACAGTGAATCCAGCAGTTCCTATTCATCCACAGCTCATGTTAGTTCCTCAAAGAATTCCAAAGAATTGGGTAAAAATGATTTCCCTTTCACAAAGCCATTTCAACTTTGCCTGATTACCTTGAACATTTCTAAATACTCTGCTACAACATCTTTAATAATACCTTCTAAAATGGCAAGCAGGAAGGGTGTGTGGATAGGCTGAGTGGTATGTGAGGGCATAGAGGGGCCACGAGGGATATGAGAAAGGCATGTAGAGAAGTATAGATGGTATGAGGGACGATGAAGATGTGGATTAGGGGATTTAAGAGGTAATATCTAGGGAACGTAAGAACAATGTTAGAGCTGGGCTCCAAATCCCACCCTCCCCTTCCGACCTCATGCCTGCATTTCTTGCCCCTCCCCTGCTCTACTATCACTAGAGAGAAGTTATTGGAGAAATGAATGGGGCTAAAGACCATTAGTCCCCTGGACCTGATGGGATGCATCCTAGAATACTAAAATTAGTGACAAGATGGTGGATGCACTGGGAGCAACTTGTCAGGAGTCTGTAAATTCTGGGAAAGTCCCAGAGGACTGGAAAACTGCCAATGTAATACATTTATTGACGAAGGAAAGGAATTAAAAACACAAGTAATATAGGCCAGTAGCTTAATGTATGTTTTTGGGAAAATGTTAAGAGTCTAAGGACGTAATAGCAGAGCATTTAAAAATACATAATATGATCAAGCAGGATCAGCATTACTTCACAAAGGGGAAATCATGCCTGACAAATTGAATAAAATTCTTTGAGGAGGTAACAATCAAGACAGATGGAGGGGAAGCAGTGGATGTATTATATTTGGGTTTTCAGAAGGTGTTTAATAAGGTACTACACGCTAGGCTGCTTAATTACAACAAACGGTGTTGGAGGTAGTATATTAACATGCATGGAGGATTGGCTAACTAATAGAAGACAGAGTTGGTATAAGTGGGACATTTTCTGGATGGCAACCTGTAACTAATGAAGGGATCAGTCCTGAGGTTACAATTATTTACAATATATATTAATGACTTGAATGAGACAACTGGATATATACTACAGCCAAGTTTGAATATGGCACAAAAATAGATGGGAAGCCAAGTACTGAGGATAACATAAAGAGTCTGCAGATGGATTTAGACAGATTAAGCAAAATCTTGGCATACGGAATATAATGTGTGAAAATATGAGGCTATAAACTTTGGCAGGAATGGTGAGACCACAGCTGGAATACTGTGGACAATTTTGCACTTGTAATCGAAAGAAGGATATACTGGCATTGGACACAGTCCAGAGAAGGTTTAATAGGTTGATCCCAGGTATGGAGGGACTACCTTGTAAGGAGAGGTTGGGTAGGTTGTGCCCGTGCTCGTCAGAATTGAGAAGAATGAAAGGCGGCCTTATTGAAAAATACTAGACTCTTAGGAGATTTAACAGAGTACAAGCAGAAAGGTTGATTCCCCTTCTTGAAAAGACTTGGACCAGAAGCCATAATCTCAGATATAGCATTGCCCACTTAAGACAGATGAGAAGGAAATTCTTCTCCCAGAGGATAGTAAATCTGTGGGATTCTTTATCGCAGAGAACTGTAGTGGCTGGATCATTAAGTATTTTTGAAGCTGAAATATAGATGTTTAATGTATGGGATTCAAAGGTTACAGAGAAAAGATAGGAAAATGGAGTTGAGGTATATTAGATCTGCCATGATCTCATTAAATGACAGAGGGACTTGGTGGGCTGAATACTCTATTTCTATGCAGCTATATCTTATGATTGTATTTATTCTGGCTGAGGAAATCATGAAATTCATCACTTTAAAACTCTCCCTCATTAGACAGGATGAGAGAAACCTCTATATCCAGAGGGAATATTAGAGGACTGAGTGCTTTGATATAAGCAGTGGTTCTGACAAAATTTATTGCATCTTTTAAGGTTATTTAAATAAATATTTACACCCTTTTTAGTGCTTTCAATGACATTTTCCCTTCTTTCTCTACAGGCTGGGAGAAGCTCCAAACGACAAATGTTCTTGTTGCCTGGTAACATGGAGAGACATCTGAAGATAAAAACCTGCACAGTGAGTCGAGAAATGAAAGAGTTAATTAATTCCAACTAGGCAGAAGGGTTGGTGGACACAAAAGGACAATGCACCCAAAATGTGGTCCCCAGATTAGGGTTTAAATAATCAAATCTCTCACAATGTTGGGAGTAAAATCTAGTTAAACAATTAAAAATCAGCTGACTATGCATCCTTCCGGTCCCCTCTATGTTTTTTCACCCATCTTATTTGCCACACCATCTCTGTCACTGCCCCCTCTGTCCACAGACTGTCCCACTTACCTAATGTTCTCTTACCTTCTTGCCCGACCCCCATCTCATTCCAGTTCACTCCCTCTTGCCCAACCCTATTCTCATCCAACCCCACCCCTCCATCTTCCTACCTCATGGCTATATTTCTTGCCACTGTCTTGCTTCATATCACTAGAGAAAAAGTGGTAGGGAACCTAGTGAGGCTTAAGAATGACCAGACTTGATGGAATGCATCCTACAATATTAAAAGTAGCTAGAGGTAGTGGAAGCACTGGTTGTAATCTTGCAAGAATCCTTAGATTCTAGAAAAGTCCCCAAGGATTGGAAAATTACTAATGTCATATCTTCATTTAAAAAGGAAATGAAACAAAAAGAAAAGTACCTATATGCCAGTTAGCTTAACATCTGTTATTGGGAAAATATTGGAATCCATGAGAAAGGATGTAATAGCAGTGCATTTAAAAATACATAATATGATCAAGCAGAGTCAGCATGGCTTCACAAAGGGGAAATCATGCCTGACAAATTGAATAAAATTCTTTCAGGAGGCAACAAGCAGGATAGATCATAGGCAAGCAGTGGATGTAATATATTTGGATTTTCAGAAGGCACTACATCTTAATAAGGCTACTTAATAAGATAAGAAGATTCCATGCTGTTGAAGGTAGTGTATCAGCATGGATATAGGATTTGCTGGTGAAGTAGGGAAGTAAATATACTATTACCAAGTTTGAGGTTGACACAAAAATAGGTGGGAAGGCAAGTGCTGAGGTTGATACAAAGAGCCTACAGAGTGTCTGAAAACATGGAGGATAGAATATAGTGTTGGAACATGTGAAGTTATGCACTATGGCAGAAAAAATAGAGGAGCTGAATATTATTTAAATGGAGAAAATCTGCAGAAAGCTATAGCACAGATGAGTCTTTATACATCATTCTCAAAAAGCTAGCATACAAGTTTAGCAGGTAATAGGGGTTCAAAATGCAATGTTAGCCTTTATTTCAAAGAGAATGGAATATAAAAATAGGGAAGTCTTGCTGCAATTATACAAAGCAATAGCAATACCACAGCTGGAATACTGTGAACAATTTTGGGCCCGTAATCTAAGGAATGATGTATTGGCATTGGAGACAAGGGTCCAATGGAAGGGTCAGTAGATTGATCCTGGATATGGAGGGACTGTCTTATGAAAAGAAGTTGAGTAGATAGGACCTGTACTCGTTCAAGTTTAGAAGAATGAGGCAACGTTGTAGAAACATGTAAGATTCTTGGAGGACTTAACAGGTTAGATGCAGAAAGGTTGTTTCCCCTTGAGGGAGAGTCTAGGATCAATGGACATAATCTCAGAATAAGGATCACTATTTGAATTCAGAGATAAGGAGGAATTTCTTCTCTAAGAGGGTAATGAATCCATATAATTCTTTACCATAGACTATAGAGGGTGGGTCATTAAGTATATTCAAGTCTGAGAGACAAGTTTTAATCAGTAAGGGATTGTGTTACGAAGAAAGCGCAGGGAAGTGGAGTTGAGGATTATCAGATCAGGTATGATCTCTTTGACTGGTTGAGCAATTGATGGCCTGAATGGTCTGATTCTGCTGTTTTGTCTTATGGTCTCGCTTTTCCAGTTCTCAGACCACATTCTCTCACACGCCCTCTCTTTTTCAAAACACTTTCCATCATATCCCTCTATTCTACCTCCCACCCCACATCGTAGAAAGCAATAGCAAGAATAGCAAAACACTTGGTGTTACTGTCTGATGATTAGAATGATTAATATTGATTGGCTGTTTTGCTCTGCTCCAGGTTGCAGTTGATGTGATTGAAGAGTTTTGCAATGAAATGGGGTTTCAAAACCCAGAGGCTGCAAATGAATATTCTATGTTTGTTATCACCAACAAAGGTATTCTGTTTAGAGACCAGTGTGTGTTTTTCTGTGAAAATGTTCTGGGAAAGTGCATACCTGTGAGGGGAATGAGGTCAGATTGTTTGTTGCAGTCCCATGTGATAATACCCCATGCTCTGTTTCAGGACAAATCGTGCATCCACTGAAAAAGAAAGACTACATCCTTGATGTAATTACAGAAATGGAACAAGTTGATCAAAACTTCACCTTCTGTTTCCGACGTGTGCTCTGGTTTCAACCTCTGAAGTTTGAGAATGAGCTGTGTGTGACTGTGCATTATAATCAGGTACTAGGGATATTGCAGTAATGAAAATGTGCTTGTGACTGTGGATATTGCATTAATAAAGAGCTGTACATGACTGTGAATTACACAGAAATTGAACTTATCACAATAATAAAGAACTGTGTGTGACTATAGATTTTAATCAGGGTTTGAGGATATCATGATAATGAACAAGTTCAGGGCTGCAATGGAGGGGAAGAATTTGTTTCCAAATAATTATAGAAATATGGTAGGAAAATGAAATAGATTTTATCCTCGCACCATCCCAATAATTGTGTGCCACAATTCCAGAAGAGTAGCACTGCAAAAACAGTCGTATTGCAGAAAGCAGGCATTGCAGCAAGGGCAAAAAGACGAATTTGCAGTATTTTGTTTCCACATTGCCAGATTCTATGCATCAGAAGTAGCATCAATCTTTGATAAAAATGCTTAATGGTTTCATGTTTAAAGAAGTAAGTCAAAAATATCTTTGCTAAGAGTTTGAAGAGGATGGCAGAGAGCGTCAGGATAGGAACTAACTTACTTGCTCGCCTCTCCTCATTTCTTAGCACTGTGAATGCCTAATTTCCAACATGTACTTACAATGATCCAATTGCTCCCCAACAAGAAAGCAAGGACAAAATTTGAGAGGATGGATCTGTAATTAAAGTAGTGCTGGGAGCACAAGATCTTGCTGTGATGCTGTGTTCCTGAATGCAGTGGCTGGGGTGCCCGGTGCCATCAAGCTCACTGTTCACCTGTCTTGATAGTTGGTACCAGGTGATCAGAAGTACTGAGAGATCATGATGCAAAATAAACTTCAGCTTCTAGTCAAGTGAGATTAATATTTGTTTTACACAATTTCTACCTGTAAATAACTCATATAATGTTTATTTTATTATCAAGATTGTTCCAGATTACCTGAAAGGACTCTTCCATGTACTGAATCAGGATACGATGAGTGAGAGTCAGCTCCAGCAAGCGTCAAAGTTGGCAGCTCTGCAACAACGGGCAAAAGACAGTCTGTATCTGCCTACCATGTGAGTTAATCACAGCAATCTTTAATAGGCACAGAGTAGGTAGAAAAAAAACAAAAACAAAGTTGCTGGAAAAGCTCAGCAGATCTGGCAGCATCTGTGAAGGAGACAACAGAGTTAACGTTTCGGGTCAGACCCAAAACGTTAACTCTGTTTTCTCCTTCACAGATGCTGCCAGACCTGCTGAGCTTTACCAGCAACTTTGTTTTTGTTCCTGATTTACAGCATCTGCAGTTCTTTTGGTTTTTATAGAGTAGGTAGACCTGTGCAAAGATTCTCCAGAAATTTAACTCATGGCATCCTTCCAACGTTATATTTCATACTACGTTAAGACATTAACTTATACTATAAAGGCACAATCCTGAAAATCAATGAAACTGTGGGCAGTGGATTTTTTGTATACAATTGAACTTGGATGAATGTGATGCCTTTTTCATTTGTACCAATATGGTGGCTGGAGTTCTGCGTGTTGGTGTTCATAATGTACAGTCATTGAACGTTTAGCAGTTGAGTAATATTATGAAGCCAACTGCACAGACTGATTAAGTGGGACAGTGCAGAGGGACATGTATGGTAACTACGTCATGCTGTATCTGCACCTGAGAGTACTTAATGGGACTGTACAGAAGGAGCATAAACTGTATATTGAACCTGCCAGCAGGCAGTGCAGGAGCTCCTCGAAGAAGCTCAATCAAAACTTTCCTGTTCCTGTCTAGGAAACAATTATGTTGGGAAGGCCAGTCTTGATGAACTTGACAATAATTGCTTTTCCAGCATGTTCTATATAAAATCCTAGCTCTACTTTGTGTTTCAAATGTTGCTGTGACTGCTACAGCTGAAATGATATGAAGCAGACTTTCGGCTTATCCCTGTGCCACTCTGCCAGCACAGAAAGCACCAGATACATGATATTGGGCACCAATTAATTAACCTTTGCTACAAGCAGCCTTGAAAGCACAGGTCAACATGGCAGCCAAACACATCAAGCACATTCCATATCTTAGACTACTCAAGAGCATCAACACTGGAGTTCACTAGTTTATGTTAAATTTGAATTCAAGTAGAGCATCACAGGAACCACATCTCTTTAATCGCAACCAAACTCGTAAGACACGTGACAAAACCCAGCTCTGCTGAATGCCTCTCCTGAATTTTCCTGGGTGAGTCAATCTCTGAGGCTCCAACGTCCCAGACAACTAAGGGCAATTTGGAGGATTGAATAACCATGGTGGGGTTTGGTAAAGTCACAGACCCATAAACACCTTTGGAGCTCTGCTTGGTAAATATTCAGGATAAATTTTACATTTTTAAAAAATAAGTTGCCACTCCTCACTGCATGAAACTTTTACTTTATCGTTTTCTGTTTCTCTAAGCCGTGAGGTGCAGGATTGCATCCCTCCACAGATTTACCAATTTCAGCGGCCACAATCCTGGTTGAACATGGTGACACAGAATATCCAACATGTTCAGGCCCTCAGCTCTCACCAGGCCAGAGCCCAGTTGCTTGGTAAGAGTCAACCCTCACTCAGTGCATGGTGACTAAGTATGTTAGTACTGTGACAAATAATTTAGCCTAATTTGCTACATGAGGTACTGAGGAACTCCCTGAGAAAGTCAGCATGTCTGGCAGCACCTATGGAGAGAGAAACTGAGTTAATGTTTCAAGTCCAGTGTGACTTTTCTTCAGAACTGAATGCCGGAAAATGCTGTTTTTTATGCTATTGACAGAAGGGAGGAGGAGCAAGTTATGAGGGTGACAAGGACAGTGAAAATGATGGTAAACAAGTGATAGATATGTAAAATCTGTGTAAATGTTAGACGTCTATCAAAGAAAATGGGTCCACACTGCAAAGAACAAAGCCAACATGACATAAACAAGATACAGCCAAGAGAGGATGGCATCATGAGAAAAATGGAGGTCATACTCTGAAGTTGTGAAACTCAATATTGTGTCCTAGAGGCAGTAAAGTACCAAAGTGGATAATGAGGTGTTGTCCCTCCAGCTTATGCTGATCTTTGTTGGAACACTATAGAAGGCTCGGACAGAAATGTTAGCAAGGAAGCAAGGTCGTTTATAGAAATAGCAAGCAACTAGAAGGTCAGAGTTATCCATGTGATCAGAGTAGTCTGTTTGGTATCGCCAACGTAAAGGAGACTGTATTGTGAGCAACAAAAACAGTGGACTAGATTATAAGAAGTGCAAGCGGAGCAATGGCCTGTTGGTGTTCATAAAATCCCTAGAGTGTGGAAGCAGGCCATTCAGCCCATTGAGTCTACACTGACCCTCCGAACAGCATCCCACCCAGACCCACCCCGCTACCCTATCCCTGTAACCCTGCATTTCCCACTGCTAATCCTCCTAGCCTGCACATCTTTGGACTGTGGAAGAAAATCGGAGCACCCGGAAGAAACCCACGCAGGATTTGAGTCCTGTTCTAAGTCGAGATGTAACTCGGACCCACAGCAATTGGTTGATTCTTAACTGCCCTCTGGGCAATTCGGGATGGAAAATAAATGCTGCCCCAGCCAGTCACGTCTACATCCCATGAATTAATTCAAAGAATGTAAAATGCTGCTTCACCTGGAAGGTGTGTTTGGGGCCTTGAATGGCGATGTATGGAGTTGAATAGGCAAATGTTATAGTTTCTGCAATTGAGTGAAAATGTACCTGGGCAAGTGAAGAAATGTTAGAGTGATAGAAGAGTAGTCCATGGTGTCACAGAGGGAAAGGTCCCTGTCCACTACAACAGTGGAGGGGAGGAGATGTGTTTGGTGATGGTATCCTGCTAGAGATACCAAAAAATGATCCTTTAAAGATTAATGGGGTGGAAAGTGTGGACAAGGCTTACCCTACTGTTGTTCTGGGATGGAAGGGATGGGGTGAGTTCAGAACTGAGAGGGATGGGTCAGACATGCCAAGGAAAGTTCACCTGATTAACCATTTTAATTGTGGGATGCCCATCAGTTGTACAGACAACAGTGTCTCACCATTGCAAAAATCAAAAGGATTATGAAAGAGAAAGAACTTGTGGTCTGGACCTTTGGTCTTTTGAATTTGTTTCCCCTATCTGTATTCTCGTTCACGTGTAGTGTATGTGATAAATTGTTTGTCTTTTGTCTGTGTTAATTGTGATTAAATTGGTATAGTTTAAGTTGAATAAATGAGAGCCCCTTTGTTTTATTGTTCTTGTTAAAGTTAAGTATGTTGCAATCAATAGATATATTTCTACTGTAACTGAAGCAACGCGGTATGGTTTGCTTTGGTCCTGGGTAGTAGTCAGTCAGACAAATTGGGTTTTGGTGGTCTTACTGGGTTTTTTATATACTTAAACATTGCGTTATGACTTGTGGGACACTGGTGCATGATTATGGGTGCACTTTCCCAGTTAACTTGTGATAATAGTTTGGACCATGTATTTTTATCCAGTAATTCCAAATACCCTCACTCATTCTTTGAGGTTCACTGTGTGAATAGAGATTGATTTGCAGATTCTCACTTGGTGACAGTGATTAGATTCTCTTTCTTTTCCACACAGGGCTTGTGAGTGCATTCCCCATGTTTGGATCCTCGTTCTTCTACATTCAGAGCAGCAGCAACAGTGCAATTGTTGCCCCTTGTATTCTGGCTGTCAACCAGAATGGACTCAATTTCCTGAACAAGGAGACACATGTAAGTTGCTAAAGATATTTTCAGTCAATTAAAGGGCCATTAAGCCCACTCCATGTACATTCAGCCCTATCACAGAGTCGAGCCATGCATTCAGTCTCGTCCCACAGTCCATGTTAGACATTTTCTAATCAACCCATTTAGTGATATTATTACACACTGCTGGAGCAGGTAGAACTGAACACAGGCAACTTGGGTCAGAAATAGGGACAATATCAGTGTGCCACAAGGGCCTCTACAATCCATGTATCAGTTGCTCTATCACGAGTTCCACCTGCCCTTTGAATTATCAAAGGGAAGATGCTGATGAATAGTTCCCAATCCCCACAGATGATGTTATAAAATTCCAGAATATTCACCCATTTCCTCTATTTGACCGTGACCAATATATGTTTGTGGTCAGCTGTGATTCAGTTGGTAGTAGAATTGCTCCTGAACTACAAGATTCTGAGTCCAAATCCCATTCCAGGACTTTGAATAATTGCAAAATATTTCTGGTGCAGAAAGCCCATCAATTTGAGCACAAAAATCAAGAATGGTATTCTACTGCAGTATTGCGGGAGCACTGTTGCATGATCTGTCTTAAGGATGAGACATTAAACAGCGGACCATTAATACCTCCTCGGCTAAATGTAGAATATCCGATGCCACTATTTTTAAGAACAGCCAAAGGAATTATCCTCATTATTCTGCCAATACTTATCTCAATCAAGATCACAAAAAGCAGATTATCTGATCAGTATTTGTGGTGTGAAAATTTGCAGCTGTATTTCCGACAACAGTGACAAAAACTGCTTAATTGGCTGTAAAATATGTTGAGATGCCTGGTGGTTGAGAAAAAGCACTGAATAATTGACTCATCCCTCCCAGTAGTTAAATAATAGACTTTATTACCCCTGTGTACAAAGTCCACAGCATCTTTCTCGTGATTGAACATTTGCACCTCTTACACTTTCAGTGTCCAGACTTATCAGATGTATTTCTCATTGTCTAGTCCACAGTCACCTCCTTTGCATAATCACATGTGAGCCAGACACTGCTTCGGAATTATTACAATGTCATCATTTATCCATTTCCAGCTATTATATTTTCTCAAAGATGTGTTTGATAATTCATGACGAATTGCAACAACACTGTTTAACAACTTTTTAAAAGTTGGAGCAAAAACAAAAGCTCACAGGAAATTAGGGACATGCTATGAGCGATAACTCCGTGAATGATGGACACATTTTCTGTCCTGAGGGCAATCAAATCCTGGACCTATTATCATTCAAATCAGTCTTCTTTGCATCTCCCCTCATGCTTCATTACCATAGAAACATGATTATGATCTTGGAATATTCATTTTGTTCAGCCTCCCTGGTGAGGTGGATGAGGGTGGGGGGTCACATGACATAAATGGGTCAGATATTCTTTAGGAATAATCATGTTAACACAGACATAACTGGAGTCCTATTAAACAACTCCTTCACTTCCAACTGGAAAGCATATCACAGGGAATCTGTGCTCCATTTCCACACCGGGAGATAGGCTGATAGGGAAGTAATATTTGAATCTGAAAAAAAACGAGTTCCAGCAAAAGAAAACAGTCCCAGATTCTGTTCTTAGCCAAATAATGGATGAGGTGGGATATAACGATCCTGTCAAGCAAGAAGCAGCTATGAGGATGCCTGTCAGGCAAGATTTTTTTCACATTTCTCCTACCACTCCCCCTCCATGAACTGACTGTTCCATTTATCCAACCCCATTCTCAACCCCTACCCCGAATGGGGCAACTTCAACATGCTGTTGGAAGCAGTTACTTTAGACAATGTAAACTTCAATTATATTATAACTTCTTTTTGCAGGAGCTAATGGTCAATTTCCCATTGAAAGAGGTACAGTCCACCCTGACTCAACAATCAGGCCCCAGCAACAGCTATCCATACGCAGAGATTAAACTGGGAGACTTGATGTCCCAAAGAATAACACAACTTCAGCTTGATCAGGTATGAAAAGGCTGTGTACGCATGTTCAATATGCCTGCATTCAGCGCTACAGGTCACCCCACCACACTAAACTCTCTCTCTCACACACACACAAACAAACAAACAATCTCTTTCTCTCTCACTCTCCCGCCCACGCACACTCTCTCACACACACCTATACCTAGACACACACCTACACACCTACCTACCTACACACACACAAACACACCTACACCTACACACACACACCTACCTACCTGCCTACACACACCTACACCTACACACACCTACCTACACACACACAC